TTATATCGCAATATAACATGCCGTTAGAATAGTTCAAGTGTAACATATCTTTCTAAATGATGATCTTGATCATCGGAGATAGATACAAGGAACAGCAAATAGATGTGAATGTAGATGTGGGTAAATAAAACGAGAAACTGCTATACATTACAGTCCACATAACTTTACAAAGTTCATTCTCCAAATAGCAGGGAAAGTGAATATTAAGCACTTGTGATTATATTGTAGTACTCTCACCACTGAGTTTTAGTACTCTCACCTCAAGAAGTTTTGTTTCTGTTGAGCCTGTCCTCGTACTCCAGTACTATTCTGGGATTTGCTGCATTGTCAGAGGTGCCATACTTCAGATGAGAAGCTAAACCGAGTTCCTGTCAACCTGCTCAGGTGGATGTTAAAGATCCCATAGCACTATTCAAAAAGAGAAGGGAGTTTCTCCTGGCATCCTCCAAATTGGCCATTCATTTCACGGCTGTTTGTGGGATGTTGCTATGTGCAAATTGGCTGCTGCATTCACCTACAAATACACAGTCACTATATCATACAGTAAAATCCTGTGAAATGCTTTGAGGCGTTGTGTTGACAGGATAAGACACTAATTGCAAGGATTATTATATTAAATAAAATGTTCATAGAGGGATAAATATAACATTCCAAAATACATTCTGTTGCTTAAATGTTGCTGGGGATAATTAAGAAATTCTTTATAAATATGGTAAAAACATGCTCTCAACCCCTATCCCTAACACCGAATTTGGTTTCTTTCCCATGGGCTTTTAAGCCTCCAGTCAACAAACATGATTTTTTTTTAAAGTTATCGGTGATTTGAAACCTTTAATCCTCTGCAGTATCTCAAAAGAAATCATAGTGCTTCAAGTTCTTCCCTGAACTTTGGAATCAAATCTCATTGCAAAACCCAACCTCCTCTAATGCATTTGTTCCCAGAATCTCAAAACTGTGAAACGACGTGATAAGGCACTATATCACATAAAATTATTATTATCAAACCATTCTCAGTCCTTACTTCCTCCTAGGAACTACAGTTCTTTTAAACAAAACATAAATTTCTGCAGAATGCTCTAAGAACAAAATAGCTAAGATTGTCTAAGAGTTACACTTTAGCCATGAGAACCTAGAAAATGAGGAACTATAGTGCAAAAGGAAGGCTGTTTGGCCCATTGTGCCTTGTGCCTGTGCTGGCACTCTGAAAGGGCAATCTATTTAATCATAGAATCATACTGCACAGAAGGAGGCCATACGGTCCTTTGTGCCTTCGTGCTCTTTGAAAGAGCTATCCAACCAGTCCCACTCCCCTGCTCTCACCCCTTGGTGCTGCAATTTTTTCCTTTTCAAATACCCATCCAATTCCCTTTTGAAAGCTACTATTGAATCTGCTTTCATCACCTTTTCAGGCTTGCAGATCGTAGCAACTTTCTGGGTACGAAAAAGAATTCTCTCCCCTCCCCTCTGGTTCTTTCACCAAATATCTTAAATCTGTGTCCTCTGATTAATGACCCACCTGCCAGATGAAACAGTGTCTCCTTATTTACTCTATCAAAACCCATGTCCTACTCTCCCAATTTCTTCTGTTCAGATATTTGTCTAATTCCCTCTTAAACACTAACATGGATGCTGCTTCAACTCAATCGCAATTTGTAGGTAGAGCACTTCACAACCGAACAAACCTGTGTCGTGTGTAAAAAAATCTTAATTTTAATAAACAGAAGATAGTCTGGGTAAAGAGGAATCCACCCATGAAGCCTAAAGTGATGCTGACAGCACAGAAAAAACAGCAACACACTACACAGAAAAAATAATTGAAGCTTACACGTCATCCTTTTTATCAGGTTATTAGAAACACCATGAAAGGTGCAATAAAAGTCCGAAAAGCGAAAGGAATAGGAAACAAAAGTTGAAAATATTTTGAATCATAAATATTTGCTTAAGAAGGTAATGTCCAGAAGTATTAAGTATTCTTGGGCATCACTGTACCTACTCATAGCTTCCATAGTAGTAGATATGGTTATCTAATGTGAAGAATAATAATATAGTAATAACGATGACATAGTGTCTTTCAGATCAGAAGGAAGTCTGGGTATTTTGCCAGCCAATTTGCACACAGCAATGTCCCAGAAACAGCCGTGAAGTGAATAATCAATTATATTTCCGGCCAAGATACCGGGAGAATCTCCCTCCTCTTTTGGAATAGTGTCAGGGGATCCTTAACATCCATCTGAACAGGCAGATAGGACCTCGGTTTTACAGCACATCCAATAATACAACGTACAGTCTGCACTGCATTATAATGTCAGTCTAGAGTGTGGAAGTTCAAAATGGGACCATGGGGCCTGAACCCACACCTTCTGAATCAGAGGTGAGAGTGCTACCAACAGAGCCAGGCTGCCACACTTGTCCTTTGAATCCATTACCCTTTGAAAAAGAATGTGTCAGAATATCTCTTGGCAGAGATATTTAGCTACAATTTCTATGCTTTTTTTTCAAATAGTAAGATTATCCACAGTGAACTAATATTAGAAAATTCAATTCTGATCTTCTCTGCGTCCGTAAAAGGATGAGTGATCAGGACATCCCTTCAGGGATGGATTAAATCCAGTTCTGACAAAGTCTTAACTATTACCTTCAGGACCTCTCAACTCATCTGTGATTTGTAAATGCTTTGCTTTTAATAATATATCCAATATATTCTGCGAGGATTTTTAAAATATTTTATTGAAGATTTTTGATTGAACAGCAGACAAGGCAGAAAACAAATACAAAGAAGGAAATAAAGAAAGTGTCAAAAACTCGCCCAACAATCCACAATAATCAGCAGTTGAGAGTGACCAGAACAGACACATAAGAGCAAGGAACCAGCATCATATATCACTCAGCCCCAGCTTCAATGCTTAAGCTTCTTAAATGATGAATCATGAAATATCACAAGTCAGAAAGACATTGGCGTCTAAAATACCAGTTGGGCTAATAGCCCATAGGGTATAAGCATATCCCATAATTTAGATCCCAATCAGGCATCAGTTATGGAAGATTAAGTCCAGTGGCAGCAGGGAATGGGAAGGATTGTAAGTGTAAATGTGAACAAAACAAAAGGAGCTCAATGTGATAGAATAGGGCTTGTTCATTTTTTAACCTGTCTGTATTTATGAGCAATGCTAACATACCAGAGCTATCCCAAATCTGACTGCAGGTACACAGCTCACGATTAACAACAGACTTCAGCTATAAGTACTAAGAACCAATACGTAAGCAACAGGATCAGTAGAGTCAATCACAGCTGGCTAAGTACAGACCCCAAGGCCACCATCTCCAATGATGTGGGCATTTCTATATGTCAGGAAGTTTAGATTAACTCCACTTCAGCATTTGTTTTTTTTACCCGTGGCATTAGCTCTTTGCCAGATTCCACAAATCCAATAAGTGCAGCTTCATATATAGCAGAGTGTTCATAAACAGGGAGGGCAAAGCAGAAAAAGATCCAGCTACCTATCCTTCTGCTTATCTACATAAGCTGAATAATAGTGAATGTGTTCCCCAAGGCCCACTGTCAAATAACCTTCTTTGTTGTTCCCTTTGCAAAATAATTTGCTCAACCAGGTGAGGGTTATTAGAACTGGGAAATATATAATTTTTTCCCATCTTGGACACTCAGTGTCAGCATCAAGCACTTTATTTTGTAAAGTATAGTTGGTGCAGAGTAAAGTCCCCTCTACATTGCCTCAGACCCAACCTCAAAATGCTATATTTCATAGCGCAATATTTTCCATTTCCCATACCAACAAAAATCGCCAAATACAAATTAAGGACAGTTTTATGTAGTGGAACCTTACCCACTTGGATCTTGATTAGAACTGCCCAAAGGACACTTGCGGCCATCGACAGGGCAATTTTTCATCCCATTGCTCTGCACTAGATTCAAACTCATATTCTATAATTTAAAGACTCAAAAGTCTGAACAACTGCATTGCTTACTAATCACCTCAGTAATTTTCACAACAATGCATAGAGAATGAGATCAGGGCTACAGTTTAGTTGAAACCATTTTCTGAAACACTTGCCTATTTCCTATTCAAGTCGCTTGTGATTTTTCTATAATCACAGGATAATCATTGAAATTTGTGGATATTGAGGAGGGAGGATGATTTATTTAATCCTGTTATTTACAGTATCTGACTGACTCACTGACTTTTGTATTTGGAGGTGAAGCTAAAAGGCTTGTTAGAAGACAAAACTATGTAACACTAAATAAATACTCTATTGACACTATAATTTAGAATGAGGTTTACTATAATTCCACAAACCAGATCACAAAATCACAAGATTAGTTTGGATAAAGAAGGCTCATTAGGCCATCTGATCTTATCCTTCCAGCACCCTATTATCCTCCCATCACAGCAACAAGCTGTTTTTTAAATGAGTCCAATATTGTGGCTTCTGCCACCCTTTCCTTCACACTATTCCAGTTGTTAATTCCCCTTTGCATGAACAAGCTTAAAGAATCCACTTCTATTTGACGAAGGGTCGTGGACGTTGACTCACTTTCCTTTCTCCATAGATGCTGCATGACCTGCTGAGTGTTCCCAGTGACTTCTGTTTTTGTTTTCACTTCTATTTGATGTTGACATGTGTGTGCATATCAGGTAAAGCATGGCTACTGCATTCATATTGCTCAGATAATATTTGTAAAAGTGCAGCATTTTTATAATATTTTCTGGCTAACTAAAAGTAATATTGCGGTCCAATTCACACTATCTGGGAATCCCTTTGACATAATTCTCTGCCTCCTGATGATTTCAAAGAACTGAAAAAGAATGTATTTGAGTTGACTTTATCAGCTCACCTGCCCACAAAACAAAACCAATTCACATTGACAATCCCCACCGAGAAAGCCTAGCTTAAACAAAACCTACGCAAAAGAGTGTGTCTGATGTTTTCTTTGCATGGGCTGTTGTAATGCGGGTAGTAAATCCTGGAAGCATATCATCTACCTGTTGGATCGAGTGGGAGTTGCAGAGGGTAATTCTGAAGATGATCTTCTGTCTGTTGTTTCGTTAGAGAATGAATCACTCGATGAAATCTGCTTGTAGTAGCTATCTTCAGTGTCCAGAAGTTTTACTTGGCTACAGGGTTAAATAATGGACATATTACTTGTAGATTCAAATGCAAGGATAATTATTATTACTTTCTCAATTCCATTTAAAATGTTATATAAAGTAACCTCTGATAACTCATCACCTCAAGGGAAAAGGGCGCAGTGATGAATTATCAAGAGAAGTGAGCTATAAAACATAAATAAATGTGGTCGGGATATTGACAGCATGATGACTTAAGTGGTAGAGACAAATGAAGCCGGGAGGTATCAGGAATTTACTGTACCTCTTTGAGATGCTCTGAAATGTCTCCTTTCGAAATTCAAGAGCCCTAGCCTGTCTAATCGTGGCTCAAGAACATTCCTCTGACACTTGTAATCAGCTTTGTTACTCTCTGATGCACTGTCACTAGATGCCTGGACAGCCCCGTATGTTGCTGTACTCCAGATGTGGAACTTATACTTTTCCGACTTTGTTGACTTGGAATTTGCAAAACATTACTTTGTGAATCTCTCTATTAGCAACTCAAATCCAGTTTGTGAACACATAGCCCCCCATGTGTTTCCAGACATAAAATGTACTGAGGAGTAGTTTACCTGTCTTTCCTTAGTCTTCGTTTACCATCCTGAACTGACCTCTGCAGAAAAACAAATAAGCTTAATTTATGATGCTATACAAACAGGCACACAATCTAATCAAAAACCCAATCACTTGTATTTATATAGCGTCCTTCATCTCGGAACACTAATCAATGGCTGATGCTGAGCCAAGGAGAAAGGGGAGGTGTCTTTGGGCATGTTTGATGAGAAAAGTCTTCAGGTGCGATCTGAAGATGAGTACAGAGACATCAAGGTGGTGGGATGGAGGCAGGGAGTTCCAGAGGTTCAAAGTTGTTGTGACTGAAGGCACAGCTGCTGATGGTGGAGTGGAGGGATTCGGGGATTCACAGAAGACCCAAACTGCCTTAGCGAAGCAGGCAGGTAGAGGAGTGGGTAATTATACTTTCTTTCTCAATATAACCATTTACCATTGCTTTAGGCTGGATATGACTGATGAGATTCAAACAGCTCAGAACTTTACAGATCTCACATCTATGTGTAATATATTTGGCTCTATCATGTCCTGGCACAATCTTGATTTTCGTTTTATCAAGTTACACATTGGTTTTGATACGGTCTCTGTTCTTGGTAGCCTTCTCATTTGGCTGTAGGCTATATTTATTCATTATAGTCTACAGAATATACCAAACTATATGGTTTAAACTCTTGGATATATTTGCTTTTGGTCAGCCCGATATGGAAACCCATCTCCATGTTTAAGAATATCCAAACCAGAGGTCTCAGGTAAGGGTAGGGGCAGATTATGGAAAGATCTGAGTGTAAGGACAATGATCTTTAATTCAATCTGCTGGTTGATAGGAAGTCAGAGGAGTTAAGTGGAGGTGGGGGCGATAGACACATGGTGCTTGATGCGGGTTGAGGATGTGGGCTGTTGAGCACTGGATGACCTCTAGCTTGTGTAGAGAGGAGATGGGGAGTGCAGTGAGCAAGGCGTTGGGATTGTCAAACCTGGATGCAATGAAAGCACATTTGTGGTCAGACTCGTTCTTATTCCAACAACCCTCCCAATTATAAAATAACTATTATGCTAACCTCCCCGTTGTTTCCTCTAGCAACAATCCTTATTTTGATTGTGTCTCCACATTTATGACTTGATCTACTGAACTCAGCTTCCGCAGGTTAAAATATAGTTTTAGTAGATATTACACAAATAAGAATAAATAGTAACAATAAACCTTACATTTGATATGGCGCCTCTCACATTGAGAGGATGTCTCCAGGCGCGACAGATGAATTACTGTAAAGTATATTGACGGAATGAATGGACAGTAAATGTGGAATAAAGTCTACCCTAAAATTGCCCTGTCTTCAGCTGCACAGGCTCATGAGCAAGAGTTTTGATACTATTAGAGGATAAACTCCTTTGGAAAGATCCTCGGACAAGGTGAAAGCTATGTAGACAAACAACAACAATGTCGGATCCTTATTTTCAGCGAAAGGTCTGGGGTCCTCAAGCCATGACTCTTGCCAACCTGCACCTAATACTCTCCAGAATTAGCTAAACAAAGTGCCTCCCTCCTTTTGAAAGTGTGCATGCCACTCCAGACACAGGGAAACTTCCATGTTTAAGTTTTGTAGATATACGATACTGTCAAACTGGTTTGGATAGTCTAAAGCATAGCCATGGGTTTCCTCATATGTCAGACCCTCGGCTGACCAAAAATGATAAATAATTCAGGACCATGGGATTCAATCACTTATTTATTTGAACTTGTTTCTTCAATAAAAAGGAGGAAAAAAAAGAGAGTTTATCAATAGTTTAATTTCAGTTTTCTTTGTGGATGACTGCTTGTGTTGTGCTTTCCTATAATCCCTTTAATTAAAAGTGATTTAAATGTACATTCTGGGAAAATTCAATTGCCTTTATGTGCTCTGAGCAGCTATTAATAATCTACAATACCCACTGAAGATTATGTTATTTGAGGCCCCAAGGGCTCTAAATAGTCAAAACGTGGGCAGCATCCCCAGCATTATTATAGCTTAGAACCACCATGATGGTCTAGCTACATTTAATGAAACAATTACAGACAGATGCAACTTTAAGAGGCCTTTTTGTCACTGTGACAGTTTACCGTTTTTGTAAAATGTCCTTAGAGCATCCAGATGAGTAACTGCAAATGAAAACTATTGACATCAGGAGCTGTTACATTCAATATTTGACCTTTCCAATTGGTACCCACATAAGCTGAGCGCAGAACCTGCTAAAAAATTGTGGGGCGAAAATAGGTGATGTGTTAATTAACACTTCAGGTGCTAATAAACTGCAGAATTAACTCTTGTATTTCTAGGCATGAGAATTATTTAAAATATTTCTGTGAGATTATCCTGAGAATTGTAATAGGTTGGAGATCTGAAGATTGTGTATGTTGTTGTTGTTGTTGTTACTGTGTCACTTAAATAGGTTGAATAGTGGGAGGTCAAAAAATAGAGCAGTGAAAATGTACAGGCCTTTCCGAAATGCAACCTCTGGCAGCTCAGGTGATAATGCCATTATACTCCAAAGTTTATCTCCCTCCAAGGATACGCACAAATAGTAATAATAACAATCCTTGCATTTGATATAGCGCTTTTCACGTCTTCTCGACGTCTCAAAGCGCTTCACAGAATATGCTGTAAAGTGAATTGACCGTATATTTGTGGGCGAAACGCGGCAGCCAATTGTGCATAGCAGTGTCCCACAAATGGTCGTGAATTGAAAATGAACAATTTATTATTGTTTTGTTTTGGAGGGATTATTATTAGGCGTGTGGAGTAAGGAAACTTGCCCAAGGTTTCGCGTTGTTACTCCTGGTAAAGAAATACTTCCCGGTGTCTTTCCTGAAATTGACCTTTGCAACCCTGAAACTATAACACCTTGTTTTGCTGTCTTGGAGGTACCAAGAATTCCCTGCGAGCCTCCTGATGAGCAACCCAGCTCAGTGTGAAATGGGGGTGAGCGCATTGCCACCATCTTCCTGCACACAGGCCAAAAACACATCTCTTCCCATTGAGTGATGTGTGGAGCTTGAGCAGCAGCTGCTTTCCTCTCTACAACCCAATCAGAGTGGATTACAAGCGTTGGATGTACAAACTTGTGCTCAGGAATTCAGCCTCCTGACAATGCCACCCAGCAACTGCCACCCCAAGCCTGCAGTTTCCTCATCAGCTATCTGACAGCCATCTGTTTTCAAAGTGGTGGGAGGACCTTTACAGAACAGCTTGTGATGTGCCAGGTACCAGGCTTACTCAGCACTAGCTGCTTAATCCAGGTCCTCATGTGAGGGGCCTTAGCAAATAAATGTGCCTGCTCTGAGTCTGCCTCCACCTCCATGGAGCTCAGCGACAGTCAGTGAAAGCTGGAGCCCTCCCTCCCTGCAGTCGCTTCCTGTGTTTGTCACAAATCCATCTCACTGCTCGGACCTGGACTTTACAGTAGGCAAGTCTCTCCACCGCATCCCCAGAGCTCAGAACAACAAAGGAGAACTGTTTGCACACAGGGCTTTTAGGGCACAAAACTTCTCCTGCATTAACGTCTCATCTGAAGGGTGGAATAACAAAAGTTGACTGTATTGTAGATTGTTTGTAGCTGAGATATTATGCTGACTGGTATTACTGAATTTTATTGATAACTCAATTGACTGACTGGAAGAATAACTTGCAGCTTGTGGACTTACATGAATGAGATTGTAATAGGTGCTGTCTTCAGGTGTATTTAATGTCTTCGGGAGGTGAGTTCGTCTTGGAGTTCTTTGGTGTTTCTGATCAAGTCCTTTATTGGGACCTAAAAGAAGCAGACAACAGTCGCTAATAAAATATTGGATTTATTTGAGAGAGTCCATCTTAAATATTGCAAGAGCTTTTAAGTGCTGCATTTTGAATTGCCCCTGAAATTACCCAAGGTGAAACATAGTTCTACAATACAATTTACATTTGTATTCTGCCTTTCAGGTTGGAAGGATGTCTCAAAGTGTTAAAAGCGCTGTTTGGATGGAGGTGTTGCAAATTAATTTATACAAATGGTGTCTCGGGGTCTTGTGTGCCATTTGGATGTGATAAGTTGTTATATCAGAAGCAAGTATTATTATAATTGTGGGGACTTCTTCTGGTGATTGAAAGTACATCACTTACTTCACTCTGATTCGAGGGGACCTTGATCCAAAAGTAAATTGAGTGGAGGGGACAGCTCCTCTGACAAAGAAATACACCCCCAGCACTGCATTGAAGACTACAGTAAGCGATTCCAAGTCTTGAAGTGGGGTTTGAACCCACATCCTTCTGACTCAGAGGCAGTAGCACATCATAATCTGGGACTAGGGAGTGGAAAGGGCACAACATGTCAAGCAACTGCTAGGATGGTGGAAGGCAAACTAGATGGACCTTGGTCTTCTTTTGCCTAGCAAAATCTTATGTTCTTATAATCTTATCACAAATTTACACAACACTGAAAGGTACTTCACATCATGCAAACGAAGATCTTGGGACAAAGTTTTTCTCAACTACTTAGGGCTGTGTTGAGAGTGTGTGCTGCCCAATTCAGTGAAATCCAGCCTGACCGCAATGAGTGACTGAATACTCCTGCCTCTCCCATTTATTTTCCCTTCTCTCTTAAAACATGTGGACTCATACCAGGCACAGTGCCATTGGAATCAACAGCCCTCCAATACCTAAGAGAAATTGACATTTGTCACGTGGGAGACTAAAAGTATCATCAGAATATTCAACTGTGAAGGAAGGGCAACATGGCATTTTCTTATCTACGTAAATATTCCAGTTGGGTCAATGAACAGCTTACAAGATCACAAGATTGATCTGGATAAAGAAGGCTCTTCATGCCATCCAATCTCATTCCTCTAGAAAACCCACCCTCCCGATCCCCCATCACAGCATCAAACTTTTTTAAGTGAATCCAGTGTTCTGACGTCTACCAACTTTCCTGGCAATCTGTTGCAGTCATTGATTACCATCGGTATAAAGAACATCTTCGTATCTGTCCTGAAAATGCCCTTTACAACTTTAAATATATGTCTTCTTGAAGAGCGAGGCTGATTTTGTCCCCCCTAAGAGAAGACATGAGGTCAAACATAACATCCTTGCTGTCACCCAGTCGGAAATCTCAGCATGCACTGGAGAATGAACCTGGGATTTTCGTCTCTATGGCTGATTCTTTCGTGGATAATATGTGTCCTACCCGAGGTTTTCTTTGAATAATATTCAGAGGAAAAAGGAAAACATTTAGCTTGTTGCATTAGGAACCAAGATAACAGTTTCCAATGTTGAAAACCACAGATAACAATAACCAAGGTAATAATAAAATAATCTGATTTTGAAAAGACTAACGCAAGCAGCATCTCATTGTTTGAATTAACTAAATTAGCTATACTCAAATGCCACTGTCATGTTTAATAATTGGAGATAGACAGAACAGAACAAAGACGGATGATGGTAATTTAAACTGTACCTGTGTTAAATTATGACATTTGTTTGCTAGGCTCTGTGTCACAAATGAACAGGCTTTCACAGAGATTATTGAAGAATGTAATAATGGCCAAATTTGATTAAAAGAAATCTCCCCTTGGGTAAATGTATTGGTGTTCTACATTATTATTTCTAATTTACAAATGGACAATACGGATATAATTACAGGGATATAAAAGTTGCCTCGAATAAGACATGGACACCAAAAAAGTTTATAAGATTTCTCAAAATCCCTTTGCCTGGCTCCTCTCTCATTAATTTTTACCCTCTTTCAAGAACCTATTTCCTTGAGTATGCCTTTGTTTAACCCCCACTCTCCCTCGTTGGCTGGTCCTCCCCATTGTTTCCTTAAAACACTTCACAATGTCGACCCTATGTGACCAGAGCCTATAAAGTGCTAGTTGATATTATTTGCAGGAAATATTTGCAATTATTTATTGTTATTTGTAATTTACAGCTCCCCGAGATGCCATCCTGTGTGAAGGGCTATATAAATGCAAGATTTTGCTTTTGCAGTCTCAGCCTCTCAGACAGGCTGTTACACCAGAGCTGTTTCCAATTGCCCTCGAACATTCGTCTTTGACTGTGACATTGACAAATCAGTAGCAATGGATGTGATTCCAGCACCGATTTCAAGGATTGCACCACTGGGAGCGAGATTTGGGGCTGCCCTGAATAATCACCAAGGAAAAGTTTGTTAAATTCCTTTTTTTCGTAGAAATGGTGCCATTTAAAAAGGTCCCAACTCGTCAATTAGAGATTCACTGCTCCTGCCAACAAAGTAACACAGTTGTGTCAAGTTGATCACCTGAAGTATGCCAAACAGGGTCAGCGCAATGCGTACGTCCCCATCTGTTCAGGAGCTGCTATTCTGAAACCGAACCTTTACAGAGGAAGCAATGTCCTCGATAAGCCTTGAAATTTCAATGACCTCAAGCATGTTTATAGTAAGTTGTCACTCACCCAGTGAGAGTGCCTGAGATACGCCAGTTTTTCCCTTTCCTCTGTCACCTCCCCAGAAAATCTTAGCTGTCAGTTTCTGGTCTTGTACCGTATTTTTTAATTTGACTTATTTTGTACAAGATTACTTTTGTCACGTCACTCAGAGAAGCTGAGTGCTTAGAGTTAATCAGATTATTACAAATAATAATAATAATTCTTGCATTTTATACACTTATCGCGTCAATGAGATATACTGTAAAGTATTTTGTGGGTGTCTGCCTTCCTTCCTCCGGGTCTGGCCTTCTCCTCGTCCCCCGAGTCCTCCGCTCCACCCTCGGCGTCCGTGCCTTCAGCCACTATGCCCCGAGGCTTTGGAACTCCCTTTCACACTCCCTTCGCCTCGCTCCCTCTATTCCTATATTCTCTGCTAAAGACCTTTCTTTTCGACCGCACCTTTGGTCACCTTCCTCCCCCTCCCCCTGGCTCGGCCCGGGGATCCGTTACTGTGAAGTGCTCTGAGATGCCGTCCGGCATGGAGGGCGCTATATAAATCCAAGTTGTTGTTGTTGTTGCAAACACAGCAGCCAATATGCACGCAGCCATGTGCACAAACAGCCACGAAGTGAACGACTGAATTTATTTGGGGGATTGCAGGCCAGGACGCTGGGAGAAATTCTCTTCTCTTTTCAAATGGTGCCGTGCGATCTTTTTAATGTCCACCTGAACAGGCAGATGGGACCTCGGTTTAATGTCTCAGCTGAAGGACAGGACTTTAAACAATGCAGCACTGCCCTGGAGTGTCAGCATTAGACTATATAGGTTCCAAATTCAAACTCGGGGCTTGAACCCACGACCGTTTGACCTAGAGGCAGGAGTGCTACCAACTGAGTCATGCTGACTCACAGTTCATTCCCTCCCTGCCGTTCCACAATGATAAAAATGACAATGCCCTCAAATAACGGTACTGGAAGATCAGCTCCACAAAATTAATCTGGGAGTTTTTGGAAGGTGTGTTGTAATAATAATTTTCTCCCAGCGTTCGGGCCAACCAATTTCCCAGACAAAATTAGTCATTCACTTGATGGCTGTTTGTGAGACGTTGCTGTGTGCAAATTGACCGCTGCAATCACCTAAAAAATACACAATGACTGCACTTTACAGTTTATCCTGTCAAGTGCTTGGAGGAGAGACGCCAGCAGTACCCCAACGCACCCAAGCCTTGGCTCTCGCCAACCTGCACCTAATACCCTGGAATTGGGTAAGCAGAATGCGTTTCTCCAGGGAGAGAGTGCGCATTCCATTCCAACAACCTATCTCTGGGATTTCCATGTGTAGGTGGGATGCATGGAAATCTCAGTTTATTATGGTGATACTTAAGCATGGTGATGGGTTTCCACATGTACCAGACACCTGGCTGCCCCACCCCCCCCCATCCCCCACCAATCCCCCAAAAAAATGCTTGGAACATCCTCCTGCCACAAACGATACAATATTAGATGCATGGATCAATATTCTCACCTTTTTTCCATAACCCAAACTACCCTTGTTTCCCAAGTATCCGTCTACTTTCATTGTAAATATCCCAAATTGATTCTGTCTCTACAGCATCCTAAGGTAGTTCATTGCACATATTCACAAACCCACTGTCTGACTTCAATTTGACAAATGTAGTCTGTGAATTTCACTCCTTAAATCCCTAGTCGTTTTCTCTCAAGTGTTTAAAACCTCCTTGTTGATAATGAACCATACTTGCTAAACGCTGAGCTGCTTGCTTGGTTGTCTCTGTTGAACATCACAGGGTCATTGTCACATTCTCAGAGTTTGCACCGCTATCCCACCAAGGGAACCAATCGAGGCTACGTCTTCCTGATAACAGACATCAATCAATAAAACAGAAACTGATTGAAATGCACAGTGGGTTGTTTGCCTCCATACCTCGGGCGCTGACAGCGAGAAGGGAAGAGAAACAGAGGGAGAGGGGGCGATTGTGAGAAGTTGACTGAGAGAGAGTTTCAGGGGGGATAGAGAGAGAGTGTGAGAGAAAGGAGTGAGAGAGAGTAATTGAGAGAGGGAGAGAGTGTGTGTGAGAGAGAGAGAGGAGGAGAGGGGGGAGAGAATGTTTGAGAGGGGAAGGTGGAGTGTGAGAGGGAGGAGAGAGTGTGAGAAGTGGAGTTAGAGAGAGAGAGAGATAGAGAGAGCGTATGCGTGAGTGAGTGAGTGAGTGAGTGAGAGAGAGAGAGACGGGGAGAGAAGGAAAGAGAGAGTCTCTTTACCCCTCTCTGTCCGCCCCTCTCTCGCCCTCCTCCCCTTCATCTCAACCCCCGTCTCTCCCAATCAGCCACGGGCTCCACTATCTGCACGGCGGTTGCTAAGGACACGGTTGGTAAGAGACGCGTTTGCCTTCCTGACAGACTGCAGTAATGGCTGGTATTATTTCCACTCTGTATGCTGTGTTCCCCCAACCGCTGGCACCGGTTGCTAACCTGGGAGGACGTTCACCAGGGAAGGAGGGGGTGGAAGATGGAATGTTGGAAATGATCTCGTGCCGGATAAAACCACCGGGCCGGATGTGGCCCGTGGGCCGTGAGCTGCCCCAGGCTGGATGTGGCCCGTGGATCTTTCTCAAATCTAGGGAATCTGGCCCATGGCAGCCAACAGGTTGGACCACCCTGGCCTAGACTGTACAAGCTCAACGTCCTAACTTGCAGCTTGAACCACGGACCTCTGACTCACAGGTTGACAGAGCTACCGATAGTAACAGACTGACACTTCATCTGACACCATATATACTGTATATGTTATAGGAGAACAGGTAAAAATTGGTGATTTCATGACTATTTCTTGGACGTTGCTATGTGCAAATTGGCTACAGCATTCAACTACAGATCCACTACATTTTACATAAATCCTGTGAAGAGCTTTGAGATGTTTCAATGCGATACAGTGTCATATGGAATGCAAGGATTAATATTAACAGCAGAGCTATTTTTGCGCAGAAGCGCTGAATTCCAGGAAAGCAAATACTTCCAGATAAAATATTTTATTATCCATACAGCTTACTGAGCCTTTTCTCTTCTTAATTCCCCTGCTGTTTAATGCTTCTGTAAGTTTTGCGCTCACTTCAGTGCTCTCTTGCAATGACAATGATGAATGATGAACAGAATGAACTGGTCCAGCATTGTACAGTTTCTGTAAAATAACGGTTTGATAACTACTCCTGTGAAATCAAACAGGAATGTGAAGCCATTGGATTAAATAGCATGTTGCCATATTTCCTGATTTCAACCAAATATTTATTTTGCAGCCCTTAAAGAGTAAAACAGTTTTCAGCCTCTGAAGCGTATCTCATTGAGCCCTTCAAACAAGTTTGCTGGTTGCTTTCGGGACGACTTACTATAATACCCTCAGAAAACCTTAAGCGATTTCTCCCTTTGAGTATTCAGAAGCGATGCAGTAGTTTATATATAGGAGAAATACATTTGTGCATTAAAAAAGCACAATCATATTTGGCACTCCATCATTGGGAAGCCTGTAGCTCAGTGGTTAGGGCACTCACCTTGCAAGTGAGAGATTTGGTTCGATTTCCGGCAGGGTGAAACCTTGGGCAAGTTTCCTTAGTCCACAAGCCTGATAATAATCCCTCAAGAAAAAAATAATAATTTGGTCACTCAATCCACGACTGTTTGTGGGACGCTGCTGTGCACAATTGGGACGTCTAGAAGACGTGAAAATCGATCTATCAAATGCAAGGATTATTATTATTATTTATTATTATTAAAGGTTTTAGTGCTTATAGCTGCTCCCTCCTGTTTTTCAGGCTCTGAAGAATCTGCAATAAAGATCTGCAGTTAATTTTATTTTTAACTACAAGTAGAAAAAAGGAACTCGATCAGTATCTGGTTGAGAATAGTATCTGAGGTTATCAGAGTAGTAATAATAACATAATAATAATAATAATCCTTGCATTTGATATAGCACCTTATCACAAGCTTCGAGATGTCTTAAAGCGCTTCATAGAATATACTGTAAAGTGAATTGACTGAGCAGAGAGACCACTAGAGTAAGGTCTCTACAACTGGAATTTGGTGAGAGTGGGAATTCGGTTCAGAGAGGGAAGGAGGTGCAGTATAGACGCCTTTCATGGCGGGAGGATGTCCCAAAGTGCTTCACATCTACTCTCTGAAATCTCCCTCCTTCTCTCCCATTCCTCCCTCACCTCTCTACTTTTCTCTCTCTAATCCTTATTTATTAGTCTGGGGCTTTGTTCTAACATAATAAATAAGACTATGAGTGCTATTCCCTCTCTTGCCCCATGGCCGTGTCTCCTCTAGCCCCCTCCATGCCTAATCGCTTGCTCCAAGTCTCTCGGCATTCACATTTTAGCTGCTGCCCCTTATCCGAGCCAACCCCCCTCAGAATGCCCACATTTCTATTCCGCACCCTCCATTACTCGACCTCTGTCCTTCTCCCCCACCGGCCTCCTCACCTTCTCTCTCTCCTGGACTAATCCACTGCCTCCCTCTGCTCTAGCCTGAGCATCCTCCACTGTGTTCATTGCAGCACGCATTGATGGTTGTCTCAGAGCAGCCACCCCAATTGCCCCATCGCCCAAACTCTCCACACAACCACATCCTTCCCACCTCTCCTGTCCCTTCAAACAGCACGGTTGTTTTCCCCCCACAACCTGCAAACCTCCCAAACCCCTCCATCCCTCAGTCCCTCCACCCTCTCCCATTAATGCCCCTACCCGCATTGGCCTTCAAAATGTCCGCTCCCTCTCAAACAAAGCCCTCGCCATCCATAACCTCATCCTGGATGAGCATGTTGACATCCTGTGCCTCACAAAAACCTGGCAGTCCCCCAATAACCTCATCCCCCTCATTGAAGCCTCGCCCCTTGGCTACACTTTCCAGCAGTGTCCCATTACAACTGATTAGTTGTAGATTGAGTAACCAAATCATTATTTTTTTGAAGAGATTATTACCCCTGGAAAAGCGATTTGCCAATTGACTAACAACTAGGTTTCTACTTACTTTCCCAATGTTTCGCTTTGCCGGGAATGGAACGCAGGTCCTCTCGCTTTGAGGCGAGTGCTTTAACAACTGAGCTACAGGACTCCAGGTGCGGTAGGCTGCAGGAGTAGGTGCAGACTGAAATACTCTGTTAGGATACTTATGAACATATTATAGCATTACAATAAAACTGTTCTGTTATAATGAGTGATGGCACAAACCTGGCTGATAATGTGCTAAAGGTCGCCCGTTTGGTTGCTTCTTCACAGAGTGCAAATTGTGGCTTGTTGGTTTCAGGAGGTGCGAGGCGATAACTTCGTTCAGCTTCTGCTGCATGGTCAAGAATTCATCGGAGTGTTTTGTAATCTGGTGGTAACGATAAGAACAGCCAGTGAGAAAAGTGCCCTTTATGGTCTAGGGAAGATGTCTCAGAACAGGGCCTCAGAGAGCTGTGTAACATTTTAAATGGGATTGAAAAAGTAAACCCAGAACGATACTTTAGGATGCACTAGTTCAGCAGATCAAGAAGACATTAGAGTTGCAAACCAAGTATCGGGGTCTCCTTGGAGCTGAACTGACATGTTTGGCAACGGAATGGCAGAATCGAGCCAGCACTCTTTGGCGGTCTCGGTAGTCCAGTTCTTTTACCGTGTGGGTCTGCAGTATTCCAGGGCCCTGCTGATGACAGCCCAGCCAGCCTGGCCTCATCAGGAGGCTTGGAAGGGCAGACCAGTCACTGGGGGTAGGGATTCTTCCTATTAACTTCAGCTCCTATTAACCCTGCATGCCAAAGCTCTAACCGGTTAGGTAGGATATAAAATATTGCCTTAAAATACCCCATTACATTCAGAAATTGAGCACAACTGCAGGCAGACGTGAATAACATGAGCAATATTGGTTTCCAAGGCTCTGAAATCTATTTAAATACATTATTCCAATACAGAATCTACCTTCCAATGCTGGTGGTAGCAGATTAGAGTATTTGAACACTCGTCCAAATACTCTAATCTGCTACGACCAGCATAGCTTTGCTGATGGGAACTAGCTGAGCATAGTTCCTACGTTTCAACAAGGGCATTTAATTTGTTTTAAAACTGACTATTACATTACTACCACTCCATAGTTTCTTGATACATTGCCTATGGGAGATAATTTTGCTTTAGATAAAAATGTGTTTCAAAAAGGGTTAAAAGATGGGAATAAGATAAAGCAATTGATATTGGAGATTGATTGTTGCCCATCTCTCACCTCCTCTCACCACTGAAAACCTGATACATCCCTGGAGTGGGGAAGGGGTATTAAATCTATGGGTCCAAAAGCTATATCTTTTGAGGAGTGAGTCACAGGGCTGGGAGGATCACAGGAGAACAGCATGGTTCAATGGTTGCATGCAAAGGCGAGCATTCAGGAGGTTTTACCAAGCTGACGTTGAGCTGCTTTTGTATTGCTGCTTACTTCCACTCTGCTGCCCACAAACGTGAGAGCACCACTTTACACAGAACCACATCTGCAACAGGAGTCAGGGGTGGGGGTGGGGGAAACGACTGCATGTTTGCTCTGTAATCACACTGTGCAATTCTTTGGTGTCACAATAGAACATCGATTGTTTATCTGACAAGGTTAGGCGTTTGTTTCGGTTCTCATTCCTTTGTGTGTTGAAGGCAGTAACATCTGCTCGACCACCCTTCCAAAGTGCCTTGCCTTCATGGATGAACCTGCACAGTGGGCGTCAGCAGATTATTCAACCATGAAAGAGCACCACAGCCGTGCCTTCTGCTGCCCACGCTCCTACACTTTCCTGGGCAGCAACCAGGAATCATGATCCATTTGTTTTCGCTCATTACCCCTTCTCCAGCTGTAACTGGCGACTCAATGAAGACAGATACGTTGGTTTCTATGACTCAGTATCACAGCAATTCTCCATTTATACTTTTGGGGGGAATGCCTATCAGCATTAATTATACTATCAAACACACCATTATATTTTAACCTAAATAAAGGAAGACAATGTCTGTGTCTAAATTGCACGATGAAAGCTCAAACATCTATTGCTGAACGGCCTACAAAATACACAGTCACTGAATTTTATAGTATGTCCCGTGAAGCACTTTGTGACGTCCTCCTGACGTGAAAGATGCTGTATCAAATGTAAGGATTATTATGACTTAACAAGCCTCATACAGTAGCATTGCAAGCTCAATTCTAATTGTTAATCACAATTATGTTATCTGCACTGCTACAACAACAAACTGCAATAATACAGCACCTTTCATGTTGGAAGGACATCCCAAGGCACTGAATAATAGCTAGATAATAATATTGTATATATGTCTGAGCTGCATTTGGCACTAGGCATGAGGCAGCAAGTTCCTCCATTTCCCGACAGAACCTATACCTGTTTTGAAAAGGTAGCGAGATCTTGTGCCTCTCTTTCAGTGCATTGTTGAATCTGTTTTCGCTCCTTGTAGCCTCTGAAATTGCTTTGAATCTTCACTGCTGCTTCCTCTTCTTCATTACAATTGTCCAGCTCCTCAGGTGTAGGATTCTCAGTGGTTGTAACAATAGGTTCGGTCACCTCTTTCTTCTTGCCTAATTTCCCTTCTTCTTTCAGCCGTTTCCTCTCCTGGTGCCCTCTGAAGTTGCTCTGAATGACTGTGGCAGCTCTGTACTCATCCTGGCCTTCACTGGTTTCCGCCTCTTCCAGCTGAAGTGGCTCTTGGATACGTTCTTCCCTCGGTTCGGCCTTTGCATTGATTTTGGCCGGTACTTTCCTTTCCTGTTGCAGTCTCTTTCTTTCCATGTGCCCTCTGTAGTTACTCTGGATAACAATAGCAGCTTTGGCATCCTCATCTGTTGTTTCCTGGGTTGGCTCTTGTTTGCTGCATTGATTCTGTTCTTGGATCTCTCCTTCCTCTTGCTGTTTGGGTTTATCTTGCTGTTGCTCCTTTTTTGTTCTCGGGGGAATCCTCCCTTCATCCTCCAGGCGCTTTCTCTCCCGGTGGCCACGGTAGTTGCTTTGAAGAACCGTTGCGGCTTTGACCTCGTCTTTTTCAGGAGTTGCAGTCGTGCTACCGTTTGGCGCTGAGGTCTCCATTGGCGGTTTTGCCTTTGCACTCTCCTGACACATGCGCTTCTCTTTGAGTTGTTTCCGCTCTTTGTATCCTCGGAAGTTACTCTGGATCACAATAGCAGCTTTTGTGCCCTCGTCGTCCTCCTCTTGGGAGTGTTCCTCTCCAGAACCCACTGCCTTTTCGTTTTCCTTCACCTCTTCTTCAGTAATCACATCCGTTTTACTTTGCTCTTCATTTGGAGATGCTTCTGCAGCATGGATTTTACTCCTCTGTTCCCTATATTAAAATAAGCAAAATTCTTACTCTGGAACCTTGAAAGATAGTTACTCAAACAACTGTTTAACACATTTGTTGAGTCATGATAAAAGTCTTTTAAGAACATAAAAGCATTGATACTGAGCCCGTCATGTAAGCTTTTGCGCACAAAATATACAGTCAATCCACTTTACAGTATATTCTATGAAGTGCTTTGAGACGTCTCGAAGACATGATAAGGCGTTATATCAAATACAAAGATTATTATTATGTCTTGGACCATTTCAAAGGGGTGTTCATAGATACGGTGAAGAGGTAGATTTTTAGGCTGAATTTAAATACAGATAGAGATGGGGCAAGATGGAGGGGTAGAGAAAGGGATTTACAATAATCTTTGCATTTAATAATTATAATCCTTGCATTTGATATAGCGCTTTTTCACGTCTTCTACACGTCGCAAAGTGCTTCACAGAATAGACTGTAAATAATAATAATAATCCTTGCATTTGATATAGCGCTTTTCACGTCAGGAGGACGTCCCAAAGCGCTTCACAGAACACACTGTAAAGTGAATTGACTGCATATTTGTGGGCGAACGCAACAGCCAATTGCGCACAGCAATGTCCCACAAACAGCCGTGGATTGAAGTGACCAATTTTTTTATTTTTTATTTTTGAAGGATTCTTATCAGGCGTGTGGAGTAAGGAAATTTGCCCAAGGTTTCGCCCTGTCTGGAATTGAACTCAGGTCTCTCGCTTGTGAGGCGAGTGCTCTAACCACTGAGCTACAGGACTCCTACACTGATCCCTTCGAAGTTTGCCTTGCTTAAATTTAAATCAATATTGCACCTTTCACATCAGGAGGACATCTCAAAGCACTACACAGGATTTACTGTGAACTGGAGTGACTGTATATTTATAAGTGAACGTTGGCAGCCCATTTATGCACGGCAATATCTCACAAAAAGTGAATGACCAGTTTTATTTTGGGATTGTCGGCAAGGACAAACAGAAACGGGAGAAATGCCCTTCTCTTTTTGAGTAGTGCTATAGAATCTTTAACATCAGAGATAAATAACAGAGATCAGGGAAGCATGCAGCAAACGCAATGTGGTTGTAATGGGAGATTTTAATGTTCACATGGACTGGGAGAAGCCGAAGAGCTCAAGTAGGCAAGGCAACAAATTTCTAGAATGTATTCAGGTCAGTTTTCTGGAACAGTATGTTTTAGAACTGATGAAGGAACATGCCATACTAGATTTGGTGATAAGTAATGAATCGGAATTAGGAAGCGATCTGATGGTAAGGGAACATCATGCAAATAGTGACCATAATATGATTGAATTTGATATAAGCTTTGAGAGGGAGAAGGGAAAGTCACAAACCAAGATTTTAAATTTAAGCAGGCAAACATCGAAGGGATCAGAAATGAATTAACTTCTGTAAACTGGGCTGAACTGCTAATGGGTAAACCCATGGACGTACAGTGGGAAGTATTCGAAGAAGAATGAGGTACAATACAAAACCAGTACGTACCCCTAAAACACAAAAGCTCCTCTTGTGTAGTTCAACAACCGCGATCGATAAATGAGGTAAGAGGCAGTTTAAAAGAAAAGCCTTACACTAATGTGCAAGAAAAAGTGGATCCAGTAGACTGTGAGACTTATTTAAAGCAATAAAGAGATACAAAGAAATTAATAAGAGGTGCAACAAGGGAATATGAGAAAAAACTTGCAAGGGCAACAGTAAAAGTTTTTATAAATATATTAAGAAGAGAGTGGTAAAGGGAAATGTGGACCCATTAAAGACAGATGTAGGTAAGACTATAATGGACACAAAGGCTGTTGAATGAATACTATGCTTCAATTTTCACAGTAGAGGAAAAGGACATAATACCAAGGGAACCTAAAAGAAAGACAAAGAGAAGTACTAAGTGGATTTAATATAAATCTAAAAAAAATGGTAATGGCGAAAATAATGGGACCTCAGGGTATTAAAAGAATTAAAAGGGGTAGAAATTGCAGATGCATTAGGTATTAATTCTCCAAAACTCTCTATATTTGGGAATTGTGCCCTCGGATTGGAGAATTACACATGTCACTCCATTATTTAAGAAGGGAGGGAGAAATCAGGTAACTACAGACCTGTCAGCTTAATTTCAGTTGTGGGGAAGTTACTGGAATCTCCCATCAGGGACAGTGTGACTGAGCATTTGGACAAATCTGAGCTAATCAAAGAAAGACAGCATGGATTTGTGAAAGGTAGGTCATGTCTGACGAATCTAACTGAATTTTTTAAGGAGGTCATTAACATGGTGGAAAAGAGAGTGTCTATGGATGTCATCTACATGTACTTCCAGAAGGCATTTGATAAGATTCCACACAAGAGGTTATTAGCAAAAATAAAAGTGCATGGAATTGGAGGTAACCTTGCAACTACCTGGAGTCCTGTAGCTCAGTGGTTAGAGCACTCGCTTTGCAAGCGAGAGACCTGAGTTCAATTCCAGGCAGAGGGCGAAACCTTGGGCAAGTTTCCTTACTCCACACACAGCCTAATAATAATCCCTCCAAAACCAAAAACAATAATAAATTGGTCATTTTCAATCTACGACTGTTTGTGGGACATTGCTGTGCGCAATTGGCTGCCGCGTTCGCCCACAAATATACAGTCAATTCACTTTACAGTGTGTTCTGTGAAGCGCTTTGGGACGTCCTCTCGACGTGAAAAGCGCTATATCAAATGCAAGGATTATTATTATTATTATTATTAACGTGGCTGGGTAATTGGTTGGGAGACAGAAAACATAGCGTAGGGATAAGGGGAATTTCTCTGATTGGCATGATATGACAAGAGGTGTTCCCCAGGGGTCTCTACTGGGGCCTCAGTTTTTCACCATATATATAAATGACCTGGATAAAGCAATAGAGTTTTATATCCATATTTGCAGACGACATAAAGTTAGGAGGTACAATAAATTAAATGGGAGCAGGAAGATACAACTGAAGATACAAACAACAAAATACAACAAAATTAAGTAAGTGGGCAAAAGTGTGGCAGATGGAATTCAATGTGGGGAAGTGTGAGGTCAACCACCATTAATCCAAAAATAGCAAAACAAAATATTTTCTAAATGGGGAGAAACTAAGAATTGTGGAAGAGCAAAGAAATTTGGGTATCCATGTACACTGATCACTAAAAACAAGCTCACAGGTGCTAAATTTAACAAAAAAGCTTATGGGACGTTGGGTTTTATCTCAAAGGGGCTGCAATATAAAGGAGAGGAAATGATGCTTCAATTATATAAAGCCTTTGTCAGACCCCATCTGGAGTAGTTCAGTTTTGAACACCTCAGGAAGGATATATTCGCCCTGGAGGGGGTGCAGTGCAGATTCACCAGAATGTTACCAGGGTTTAAAGGGTTAGATTATGAAGACAGGTTGCATAAACTTGATCTCGTATGACCAAGGGATTTTCATGTTTGCCCCTAAGACAGGGCATGTTCTAGCTGATCAATGCCATGATTTATAATTGTTCGCCCATAAAATTCAGTCACTCCACTTCACATAAGATGTCATCCTGCCATGAAAGGTGTAATGTCAAATGAAAGAATTATTATTATTTTATTGTGTTGTTCAAAATAAGTTTACACCAGTGGGTTATGTTTTGTCCGTAACTGCAAAACAAATGGCAATTTGGATCATAGGCAGTTATGTTTTAAAGCCAGATACTTAATGTGAGTCCTGTTACTGTTTGTGAGACATTGCTGTGCACAGATGCCGTGTTTGGTTACAAAATACACATTTTACCATATGTTCTGTGAAGTGCTTTGAGACATGAGGGAAGGCAGAGAGGTAGGAGGGTGTTGAAGGTACGGTTGAAAAGGACGGGATTAAAGCCATTAAAGCCATTAAAACCATTGTATAATTGCATCAATCCGCCAAATGTGGAGTGATTCTCTGAAAGTCATTTACAAAGATTTACAAATATCTTATTCCCTGCTGGTCAGTCAATTATTGGACCTTGGCAGTGTGACAACGAGAAATCTATAAAACAAGCTTATGAGTCAAGAGCCATGAGTCATGAGTCAATCTAAAGCTCCACAGAGCACCATCCTCTTTGAGAGTGATCCAACGCTCCACCTGTTCTTTCCACTCTATTTATTCACAGCACTTACTTTTTCTTTTGGAAGCTCTTTCTATCCTTGTAGCCCCGGAAGTGAGACTGGATCTTAACTGCAGCATTATTCTGTTCATCCAACAATCTCCTGAACTGCATTCTGACCAGGTATCCTCTTGCAGCTGAGTCAAATATATAGCACACTCACTCAGTACATGGTCTTAAACAATCCAAGTAAAACATGCCTTCACAGTTTTAAATATTACTTTATATTCTGTTCCTTTTCCCACACGACTTCAGAGGAGCAGTCACATAGAACTGAACTTCCTTCATTGCTTCAAAGCAGCTGTGATGAGGGAGCAATACCCCGGATCACATGCTTCCTGGTCTTCCATATCTCTCTGCTGGGAAATGCTCCAGGAATTAGGGAAGAAGGGGGCGTCCCTCCAGCAGAGAATGTGCCTTCCATTCCAGATGCAGGGAAATTTCCACGTTTAAGTGGAACTCTCGGTTTGGTTTGGTTGCTCATGTTGATGGGTTTCCGCATGCGTGACCAAAACAAACTTGAGTTATCCTAGACTAGGAGCTTCCTGTAAGCAAGGCACAAAGGCTATCAATTTCACCCTGAGTACTGTATGTTGAAGCACCGATGCTTTGCGACGATGTCAACTGATTAGAACACCCCGAAGCTTAAAAGAGGCTTTATAATTGTGAATTGATGCTTTAATTATTTGAGCGACTGGGGTTTAAAAGTACAGCTGTAAAGCTATCCTGTTGTTGAGTTTTATTACTGTAATATTAGCAATTACAGCATTGCAGTTAAGGGATTTGAGAGTATACAGATCCAGCTGGCTTATGATGACAGGATTCTTCACAAACCTGCCAACAATCTAAATGTAAGAAGTAAAAATCCTTACCGGCCTGAAGTTTAATGATTGTTTGTTCTAACTTGTGTTTTCCAACTGTGTTGTCTTTCCGTACTCTGTATCCCCTGTAAGCTAAAATATTAGACAAAGTTCTTAATATTAATATTAACAAAAATCCTTGCATTTGATATTTGCCTTTCATGCACCTACGGACGTCTCAAAGCGCTTCTCAAAGTATTTACTGTAGAGTGTGGTGATTATATTTTGTAGGTTCACCCGGCAGTCAATGGAGTGCTGGGGGGAGCTGTATTGTAGAGATGCAGTCTTTCGGATGAGGTGTTATAATAATAATTCTCGCATTTGAGATAGCGTTTTTCCAACTTCTAGACGTCACAAAGCGCTTCACAGAATATTCTGTAAAGTGAATTGAATGTATATTTGTGGGCGAAACGCAGCAGCCAATTGCACACAGCAGTGTCCCACAAACAGTGGTGGATTGAAAATGACCAATTTATTAATGCTTTTTTTCTTGAGGGATTATTATCGGGCGTGTGGAGTAAGAAAACTTGCCCAAGGTTTCACCCTGCCGGGAATCAAAACCCAGGTCTCTCACTTGCCAGGGGAGTGCTCTAACCACTGAGCTACAGGACTCCACTAAACAAAGTGTTAAACAAAGGTCCCGTCTGTCCTCAACTGTAAGGGTTATTATTGTATTATAAAACAGAAAACCGCACAGAAATTCCCTGTGATGCGATTTGAGACATTTCACTGGAACATAGGAACAGGGGGAGGCCATTCAGCCCCTTGAGCCTGTTGTACTATTCTATTAGATCATGGCTGATCTGTACCTCAACTCCAATTACCCCCTTGCCCCATATCCGCTGATACCCTCATGCAATAAAAATCTATCCACCTCGGTTCTTGAAAATTTGAATGGATCAAGCATCCACAGTCCATTGGGGGAGAGATTCCAGATTTCCACTCCCCCCTGGTGTGAAAAAATGCTTCACTCCTAAATGGCCTAGCTCTAAATTTTAAGTTTATGCCAACTTGATTATGCCCCCTGGTTTCAATGTCATTGGCGCAATATTAAATGTAAACATTATTAAAACTCTCCTTTGGATTAAACAATTGAGCACAATGGGCCAAATGGACTTCTTCTATGCTACACATCAACAAGGCTCGATGAGGGAGGTCCATAATAGGGTAAACGGTACATGATCTAAGGAAGGAGTGGGCTTGAGAGGCACAATGGCCCTTTCTTGTTTCATATTTTATAATCTTATGTGTTGATCCTTATGAGGTAGGTAGAAAGGAGTTACCTGACTGAAGGACCATGGCACTTTGCTCTCTCTTCCCTTGCATCTTTCGGTAGCGTTTAGCTCCAAGCCAGCCTTTCACCCAGGCTTGAACCAGCACTATTCGGTCCACCATTTCCTTGATTATTAGGTTGAGCTGTTCCACGTGGTAATATTTCAGGAACACCTGGAAGGGAAAGAGCAGTGAAGAATTTGGCCACATGATACAGCTCAAAAATAGTTCAAAGCATTTCACTGGAGAAAACAACTGACATCAAGGGCGACAGAGGTTTTAAGAAACATTTTCTGTCTGAAGAAAGAGATGGAATGCTTTAAAATGGTATTAGTTTCAATATTGTACGTGGAGCTAAGATTTAACATATTTATGTAAATGTTTAGTCATTTTCAAATGGAATTTTATTTCTATTTCATTTATGTTTGTTTCTCTCTTCTTATTATAATTTTGTTTTGGGATTATTAACCCCGGAAAAGCGATCCACCAATCGACTAACAACCGATAAGGTAAACAGAGGCGTGTGGAGTAAATAAACTTGCCCAACATTTCGCCCTGCCCGAGAATCAAACCCAGGTCCTCTTGCTTGCAAGGCAACCATTGAATTACAGGACACAGGAAACAGACAACCTAGACCTCCTTAATGGATTGACTTGATCTTGATATTCTGTTGCCAAGCACGTCAGCCTGAAATTAGTTCAGCTCCAAGGAGACCCCACTTAATCTTCCCCCAAAGAAGGATAATTACTAGTTGGCTACGATTAAACTCGCTACCTGGGAATTAAAAATAACTTGGAACATGTGGTTATACAAAACATTATACCAATGGGAGTTTACAGTATAATGCAATGCAAAGGACAATGTACTAGAATCTTAATGGCATGATTTACAATGCATTTTAAAAGAAAAACATTTCCCACATCTCTCATCCAGTCATGCTGGAGTGCTGTTCCTAGGCCAGCAGTTTTGTACAATACAGTAAAACTCGCATAAATCCGAATCATATAATTGCTTAAGTCATAAATCTGCCCAAGTTCCATTCAAGAGTTTATATTCTATGCAAGTTTAACATGCAAGATCCTCAAGCTCCTTTTCGAATCCCTTTGTGTCCTGTCGCCTTCCTACCCCTCCGACCTGCTTACGCCAACCCACAACCCGCTGCCTTTCCTCGATTGGCTCCGGCCTTTTACATGTCCCTCGTGCCCACTGTTCCACCATTGGTGGCCTCACTTTCAGCCAATACGCCCCCCGAAACTCTGGAACACTCTTTCTCTATCCCTCCGCCTTGTCCCTTCCTTCCCCATGTTCAGGTCGTACCTGAAGACCTTCCTATTCGACCGCATCCCCTCCTCCCAGTTCGGTATCATTCTCTGCCACTGTCAAGCGCTCTGGGATGCTACCCTGTGTGAGGGGTGCTATATAAATGCAAGTTGTTGTGGTAGGAGACAGTCTGGAAGGATTCAGATACCACAATAGCTTGGCTCCCTGCAAATAGATGGCTGTATGGTTCTAATTGGTTTCACAGCCTTAGATTGTATTGTTGGATTATTTGGAACTCAGAAGCAATGATAAAAAAAAAAAAACAACACATGTTGTCAGAAATGATGAATGGAAAAGAAAACTGGAAATGATAATCAAAGCGAGTAACTGAGAAAGAAGAGCTTGTGGAACAGAGAAAAGTCCAAATCAATGAGTTATTCTGGAATCAGGCAAAGGTTCCCACGTTAAAAAAAATACAATGCAACCTCCCCCTGCAACGCAGTTGACTGAAAACTTTGCATAGAATTGGAAAAGGTTTACCAGCATTTGCAAATGGATTTTGAAATTATTGGAACCAACAAAGAATACTGAGAAGGTGAAAACATCCATGTTATGCATATTATGTTATTTGGAACAAGTACTTAGATGTTGATAGTAAATAGAGAATGATTGTGATCAACCACAAAACACACAGTCACACCACTTTACAGTGAAGTACTGAGATGTCTTAATGACACGATTAGGGCAATATCAAATGCAAGTATTATCATTAATAATAATGATAATAGTCCTTACATTTGATATAGCGCTTTTCACGTCAGGAGGATGTCCCAAAGCACTTCACAGGATATATTGTGAAGTGGTATGAGTGTGTGTTTCGTGGTGAACACAGTGGGCAAATTTTGCACACAGCAATGTTCCACAAATAGCCTGGACTGAATGAGCAATTTTATCTCAGGATTGTTGGCCAGGACATAAATTTCCTTCTCTTTTGGAATAGCGCCATGAGATATTTATCAGGCAGATAGGACTTTGGCTTAGTCCAAAGGATGACAGGCACCTCCGACAATCCACCTGCAGCAATGCATTGGAACGTCAGCTTCGACTATATGAGTTCCAAGTCCCAGCATTGGGTTTGAACCAACAACTTTCTGACTTGGAGGCAAGAATGCAACAACTGAGCCAGCCTGACGCACATTACAGGCTAGTTTGAAGCCTAGAACTCTCGTCGTGGCTGTTTGTAGGAATATTGGCTGCCACATTAGCCGACAAGATACACAGTCACTACACAGTAAATCCCGTGAAGCATTTGAGACATCCTCCTGACATGAAAGACATATCAAATGCTAGGATTATTATGTGCACCTGCTAATCTGGGGAGTTGACAGAATTATTCGCAAAGAAGAAAATTTTGAGGAATGTAAGATAATTCTCTGAGGGAGTAGAATATTTAGAGAACATGGCCTAACTTTACACAAAAGACGGCAGCAAATATAATTTTAAAAATAAGGGAAATATAGTGATGAAAATGGAACTGTTGGCACTGTCTTCAAAATGTAGCTGGTGGCGGTAGTGTCAAAAACAGTAAAGTCACCAAAGCTTCTCAGTGGCAAAAATAACTATAATGCACGATAACAGATATGGCTCATCCTTTCACTGGTTGACTTTGGCTACTATGTGTGTTCCAATTTTGGTTGTGGGTATTTCTTTTTATTCTCTTGTCTTGCTTTGGATTTGTGACTGAACTACAGAGGTTTATTTATGGTCTTGGAAAAGAGGGGGAAAATATTATTTTTTCCGGGTTTGTAAACATGACTGATTGAATAAATACTAACAGTAACAATCCTTACATTTGATATAACGCCTTTCATGTTGGGAGGACATTTTAAAGGGATCCACTGTAAATTCGAGTGACTGTCTATATTGCGTGCCAATATAAATTGAATATGGAATAAAATATAAATCGATGGATGACTTTAGAGAGCAATGAGTGACCATAGAATGCAATGGGTGACAATAGAAAGCTACAGATGACCATATAAAGCAATGGATTACCATACTTTGGTTTTTCCAAGGACCCAGTTGTCCAGTTTAGCTTTCTCCAGAATGGCAATGCATGTGTCCGGGCTCACATGTGGCTCCTCGATCGATTTGAAAGCAATAATGTAGTACCTGCAAGGAACCAAAGTTACCAGTAAGGATTCTGTTTCCATTTTTGAACACTTCCAGTTCACAGTTAGTGTTAAAACATGCTGCATAAAACGTTTTCTCAGGGTCTGCTTATATTCTATAACACCCCAATCACTTTGGATTGGATTTAGATAGGAACATTCATGATGATGACGTGAAAATTATTACGCTTCATATACTTTTTTAAACAACAGTTCATAATATTACTACAATTTGGCTTTCACACCCAAATGCCTGGAATGCAGAATTAAAGGGAAGTAGTTTCCATTTGGCAGAACGTAATTGCTGGTGGCCATTGATACAGCATTTTCTTTTAAGAACCAGCTTCAGAATTAAAACTAAATTCAACAATTTGCCAATTTACTCTGAAATACTACATAAATCGAGTAAATCTGGACCCAAAGGCTGTTTTTTGCCCTTATTTCATTAAGGCAAACAGGATTCTGGGGTTTACATGCAGAAGCTTCAAATATAAAAGTTATGAAGTGATGGTCAATCTGTATAAGACATTGATTAATCTCAGCGGAAATATTTTGGGTGCCACATTATAGAAAGGATATCAGAGCCACGAAGAGGGTGAAGTGTAGGTTGAGTAGGTTGATGGCAATGAAAGGATAAAACTATGAGAGGTTAGGACTCTGGAGCAGAGAAGATTGAAATATTGATGTGATAGAAGGTGTCTAAGATAATGAAGAGGTTTGAAATAATTAACTCTTCCCGATGGTATAGAATTTGAGGGCAAGACAACATGAATTGAAGATTAGGGGAGTAAAAGGAGGCGATTGGAGACCTTTTTCCTCCCAGAGGGTTCTCAAGAGTGTGGCATGACATCCAAGGGGATGTCATCACTTTCATCTCTGAGTCAGAGATTGTGGGTTCAAGCCTCAGATCGGGACTTGGAACCCACATAGTCTATGCTGACGATCCGATACAATGCATGTGCTTGAGGTGCCATCTTTCGGATGAGCTGTTAAAGTCCTGTCTGTCTGTCCAAATAGACATTAAAGATCCCTTGGCATTACGCAAAAGTGTTTCTCTCAGTATCTTAGTCAACAAATCCCAAAATAAAATGGCTTAATCACTTCATGGCTGATTGTGGGACATTGCTGTGACACATTGAATGCCACATGTGCATGCCCACAATATACACAAAATCACTTTTACAGTATATCCTGTTCAGGCTTTCAGACGCTGCAACGACTTGATCAGGTGCTACATTAAATGCAAAGATTATTATTAAGATTATTATTATAAAATCCTAGCCATCACAAGCACAAGCTCTGAAGTCTTCACCTTTTAATGAAGTTTGCAAAGAGGATGCGATGTGAATATCCCTGCCTGCGTATCCGTGCAGTCTCCATCACTCCCGTGTATCGAAGCTGCACCAACACCTTTTCCCGATCAAACTTGTTTGCCTGGCGGTCGTTGTTTGGTTTTATGCAACGGACGAAGTGAGGCAGACCGGCCACCATCTTGGAGAGAAGGTCCATGAGTGAATACTGAAATTGGACGAGGGGTTAGGTATTTACAAAGCAAATCATCTTGATTTAGTTCTGCAAGTGGATCTTATCTCAGATTTTACTGTAAAGAGCAATGAGATTTCCAAATAACACTCTCAAAGTGCTTTACACAGCTGGCTGCACAGGTGAGCCGGGATGGGGGTGAGGAGTGGGGGATGGGAGCTGAAGTAGGGAGGGAAAGATGGTCAAAGAGCTACAGCCATGATAGCTTCATCCAAGTCTGGTGTCTCCAATCTCACTGCTGTAACATCTAAGTTCTTGAGGATTAATTTGAGGACTAATTTTCAGCCTTTTAAAAACAACAACTTGCATAAATAGGAACATAGGAATTAGGAGCAGGAGTAGGCCATTTATCCTCTTGAGCCTGCCCCGCCATTCAATAAGATCATGGCTGATCTTCTAACCTAACTCCATCTGCCCGTCTTATCCCCATATCCCTTAATCCCTCTATCCTTCAGAAACCTATCAATTTCAGTCTTGAATATGTTCAAGGACTGAGCATCTACAGCCTTCTGGGGTAGAGAATTCCATAACTACCCTCTGAGTGAAGAAGAGTTTCCTCAACTATGTTCGAAAGGGCTATCCCTTAATCTTGAGACTGTGACCCCTAGTTCTAGATTCTCCAACCAGGGGAAATAGTCTTGCACTGTCTACTCTGTCAAGCTCCATAAGAATCTTATATGTTTCTATAAGATCGCCCCTAATACTTCTATATTCTAGAGAATATATATATATATATAGTGTGCCCTTCACGCGTCTCAGAACGCTTTTACCTTGCGAAAATGAGTTGAATGCCTCACGACTGTGAACGATTAGGCTTGGGGAATCATGAGCTTTGCATCAAGAAAGACTGGTGTGTTTTTAGTAGGTCTGAGACACATGGCTGATTATTACCATTTAGCATCAATTACACAATGAGTCCAAAAAATGCTCAATTTCCTTAAAAAGAGTAATTAGAGTTGAACTGAGCCTCAGACAAACTATCCCATGCAGAGTCCCAAAAAAGGAAGCTCAACTATATAATTTTGTACAAATGAAAAGCAATGTGTAATGCATTAACTTATTCAGACCCCATTGACAAACTATTTGAATTGGCAGCCTCTTTGTTGGCCTATGAACAAATTTATAGCTACACCGAATCAAGGCTTCCTTCCCCATGATTTAAGTCTGAGCATAACTGGGTGTTAAAATGCAGCCACACACAGCAGAGTCTCATGAAAAGCCGAAGACAATAAAAGCCAACTTCCGAGTCATCAGCTCACCACCAACATCACTTCCTGTGCATTGGGTCTGGCACGCAGGAAGCGACATTAGCAGTGATCTAGTGACCTGAAAGTCGGTCTCTTCTCGCACCGGAAGTGCCTGGCGCACAAGGATCAAGCCAGTCAGCAATGCTCATGCGTATTGTATGGGGTCCACATGTCATTTACATTTCAACCATATTATAAGTTATACTATGGACCACGGTATAAACACGGTAAAAATGTATTACAACGTATCGTTATAAACTAATCAATGCTGGGGGTGCATTGCACTGCGATAAGTTCTTTGGTTGAAACATTAAACCAAGGTCTCATCTGCCTGTTCAAGTGGACTTTAAAGTGGACATAGCACTATTCGAAAAGAGGAGGGAGTGCCTCCTGGTGCCCTAGCTTACAATTCTCCAGATAAAATTGATCATTCACTTCATGGCTATTTGTGCAAATCGTCTCCTGCGTTTAGCCTACAAATTACAGAGTTACTGCACTTTACAGGAAATCATGTGAAGCACTTTGAGGCATCCTCCTGACGTGAATGGTGCTATATCAAATGCAAGGATGTTGATGGTGATTACTATTAGTAGTAATATTGGGGTGACTATAACACTGCTACTCTGAAATAATGGGGTGAAAAGTATTGCTTCACGACAGATTAAATGTGATATAGAATCTTGTTATAAAACGTATAAAGTATACCATTTCTTTCTAAAGACTCGTGAAACTCCCCTTCTTGCCTGGACATCAGCGCAAGTGTTTACCCAAAGTCAGTTCTAATATCTTCAGAGCTGCAACCCAGGATTGTTGAACCCAACTCAAGAGCTGCCATTTGAAGTGGATTCTTCATAGGATTGAGTTTAGGTGGAATCCCATGAAGCTGAGCTAAATTGGTAATCAAAATCATCGAAATCTTCGGGGACAACTGTTGTGCTGAAGTTGAGGGAGGGGTTGAAAGCTGTTCCCTGCTCCCGAAAGCCCACCAGTGATTTTTCCCTTTTGGAAAAGGCACACGGCTTCACTAGACAATTAGTGGATTCGTCAAGCAGCCAGAACAGGAAACAATACTTCATCAATCACTGTCAACTAAAATAAAGTAAAGAGAAAAGCAACCAAGCGATTGATACCCAACAACTGCTGCCTTTCAGTGCATTAGAGATCCCATGGCTCTGTGTGAAAAGAGGAGGGAGTTTCTCCCGGTGTCCCAGCCAACAATTCCCCAGTTAAAAAATTAGTCCTTTACTTCATGGTTGTTTGTGGGTCACTGCTGCGCGCAAATTAATAATAATAATAATCCTTGCATTTGATATAGCGCTTTTCTCGTCGGGAGGACGTCCCAAAGCGCTTCACAGAACACACTGTAAAGTGAATTGACTGTATATTTGTGGGCGAACGCGGCAGCCAATTGCGCACAGCAATGTCCCACAAACAGTCGTAGATTGAAAATGACCAATTTATTATTGTTTTTGGTTTTGGAGGGATTATTATTAGGCTGTGTGTGGAGTAAGGAAACTTGCCCAAGGTTTCACACTCTGCCTGGAATTGAACTCAGGTCTCTCGCTTGCAATGCGAGTGCTCTAATCACTGAGCTACAGGACTCCACATTGGCTGCCTTGTGCAACTGCAAAATACACAGTCACTACACTTTACCGAGAATGCCGCCCGCATTCTCACCCGCACAAAACTGCGCTCCCCGATCACCCCAGCCCTCGCCAGACTGCACTGGCTGCCTATTCCAGAGAGGATCGATTTCAAGATCCTCACCCTTGTATTCAAGTCCCTGCACTCCTCTGCACCCCCCTACCTCTCTGACCTCCTCTCTCCTCAAACAGTACCCGTTGCCTTCGTTCCTCCAGGTCTGGCCTCCTCCACATCCCCCGAGTCCTCCGCTCCACCCTCGGCGGCCGTGCTTTCAGCCATTATGCCCTGAGGCTATGGAACTGCCTTCCTCACTCCCTTCGCCTCGCTCCCTCCCTTCCTATTTTCAGGTCTCTGCTGAAGACCTTTCTTTTCGACCGTGCCTTTCATCTTCCTCCCCATCCCCCTGGCTCGGCCCCGGGCCCCTGTTACTGTGAAGCGCTCTGAGACGCCGTCCGGCGTGGAGGGCACTATATAAATCCAAGTTGTTGTTGTTTACAGAAAGCTCTGTAAAACACTTTGAGACGTTCTGATGTTATAAGACACTGTATAAAGTTCAAGGATGATTATTTACTATTGCCATGGTCTGGTAGGATACATGTTAATGACACAATTTTCCACGTGACATTTCTGACCTTGGCAACATTGTCAGTTACACTTGACAGAGTAATACAGGCTTTTCCTGAAGAGGAGGAGCAATAATTAGAATGCGCTGGCTAATGGTGAGTTGAAGAGCAGCAGTGTAGGTCAATTGTTTCCTCTTATCACTTAGGACTATAGAGACGGAAGCTAAAATAGAAACAAGCTGAAGCATTAGTGAGGTGCCATACCCTGAAGTAAGAGGCCACAGTTTGTGTTCTCATGCTGGTGGTCTCTCTGGGATAATGTGCACAGTCTCCGCTGTCACCCTACAGTAAGGGAAATAGTTGTTATTAAACACGCAAGCATTGCAAAAGGTCATTTTTTTTTTACAGCATGAGGTACTGTGCAATCGTTCACAAAGGCAATGCGCTGGCCTCACCAGTGCTGCAGAATGGGAAGACTTTCTCCCTTTTTGCAGCCATTTCCAATGCTTCCCAGTTCACTTACAGCATGTGATAAGTGCAGGGTTGAGTTCTCGCTAGACTACTCGAAAACATATCCGCGAACGGCACATCAAGAAGCCCACCCCAATAGAGTCAGCGTGATTTCAGCCTTTCAGGGTTTCTGAATGACACTAACAATTGAGTCCCATTTGGAGCTGTAAGTGCAGTTGGCAGAGACACTTGCTATAGTTCGATTCTGTGTTTTAGGCAGAATGCTTCTGAAGTTAGAGCAAAAGTAAAACTGTCGTAATATCCATCGCACTGACAACAGCTGGGACATAACCAACAACTGTGGGTGGAATCTCCATATGTCCAGCAGTGTTTATGTGCTATTATTGTTAAGTGTTGTTCTTGATAGGCTGCCCAGGGAACTGCCCAGGGAACTGCACTGGGAACTGATCAAAAGCGTTAAGCATTACACTATGCATTAACATAAAAATGACAATTCAAACAATAACTTATGAGGAAGGGAAACTGGCTAATAAACCCAGAAAACATGTTCACCTCAAGCCCCAGGGGTATAAATGGGAGCAATTATGGTCAAAATAGTAAAAACAAAATTGCGCTACTCACTCCTCACCAGGAATTAAGGGTTCTCCCAGTCTGTGACCTGCCACCTTTATGGGGCTGCTGGTTAAACACATCCATGTCCCTAGCTATATTTCTCCTCATCTTATGAAGCTATTGGAAACAATTGCTGACAAAAAGTTACTGAAGTATTTATGGTGAATCGTAACTTAAAACTGAATTGAAGCTTGAGTAGCAATCTTGAGTGCAAGTGTTTCCTATTTACCGCTGAATAACATTAATAACCATGTAAGCATAAACTTCCCACTGATATTTCACTTGAAATCACTATCTGTGCATTTTTGGGAAAAAAGAAAAAAAAATACAATCTATTCAGGTTTATGTTAGAAAATAACATAACTTAAATTTGGCTCATCCAACCTGTGCAGAACTATTGTATTGTGAAATTAGCAACAATTAGGCAAGCTAGGTATCCTTCAGTCTTGAAAGGAAACATGACAGAGGGGACCTTATAGATGTATATATGTTAAATGGAATTGAAAATTAAATCTAAAAATACTTTAGGATGCACCAAAACAGAGGCTTAGGGCAATTTTAGGGTAGACGGCAAGAAGTTTTTCTTTACCCAGCGAGGAATTAATGGCTGGAACAGGTTACCTGGAAGGGTGGTTGAGGCCATTTAAACCGTCCCCCACCCCCAGACTTATCAGAGCACAGAATGATCTGATGGAAAAATGCCAATAAAATAATAAGGACAAAACTGGCCTTCGGAGGAACCTTAGGGCTTAAATACAAATGTACATTCAAGTTTCTCCTAATGGGTTCACTTGCTGGTGATAGTTTACTTGTCTGAGCGAAGCACAAGTTTGGTGAGACACTGATGGACCTGTTACAAATACAAGGGTACCACAACAACAACAACAAAATTACATTTGTGTAGCGTCTTTCATGTCAGCAGGACATCCCAAGGACATACTAAGACAGAATGGGTATTTGCATGGAGGATTAATTAAGGGGAATAGTGAAGAAAACAGATAATTGCAAAAGGAAAATCTGCAATACATGAAGCCCCGAGAATGACATAATGTAGATTTAAATCTCTGCAGAATTGCCAGTTGTATGTGTTACAATCAGCCTTCAAGGACTTTGTCTACACATTTCCATAAAGAGCTGATTCAATGTTCAGCTATTCTGTGCTCTATTGCTATTCTGTTATTTAGCACAGACCTACTTCAGTAAGCATAGCTAATAGGAAATACATTATCTTCTCAGAAGGAAAACAGGTCTTCGAGTCCTCAAAAGATCAGTCCTAATCTGTGGATTCCTTTGGGATTTGTTTCTGGATTCTCCACAGAATTTTTCAGCGTTTGATTTCTTTTCTCGTATAATATGCATTGGTTTCCTTTACAGATCTTGAACATTAAATGGTGCGTGCAGACTAGAAAAGAACAATTCAGATGGTTACTTGTTCCTACAGAAGCTATTATTTGTAAATTACTATCTTTTTAGCTACTATAATAGTGCTCTCAAAGGAAGGTTGCATTAAACTACTCTAAAATCTGTTCCATTTAAAATAGGGAATCTAAACAACGAAATATGGGAGTGAAAGATGGAAAAGAGTTTACCTCACAAGTGTTAGAACAACTGTACAATACAAAGACATCCATCTACGTGGAAAGGAAGAAAGACAAGGGGAAAATAGGTTACTCATATATAACAGCAAATCACATTTCTCGTTACAACAACTTGCATTGAGAAGGCTTTCATATAAATGAAAGTTTCAAAGCAACAATATGAGTGGTAAACAATGGAAAAGTAGACAATGGGAGAAATTTATAGATGACCAAAAAGATAATTCGTTCAAAACGAAATTTGAACCCAGAGAGAGAAGTAGCAAAGTTTTTGGAAGATAGAAATTCTTCAGGAAGATGTCTCAAAGTGCTTCATGGGATTTACAGTAAAGTGAAATGACTGTTTTAGAGGATAGGGGAATTGGGCAGCTGAAGACCTGATCTCTGACAGTGGAATAGAGGAGGAAACAGGAATCAGAAGAGCAGAGAGTGGTTCGTAGGGCAAAATAATATTATGCCTATAGAGTGGAGCAAGGCTTTTGAGGGAATTGAGGGTGAGGAAGATGTGAAGGTGCCACTACATATGTGGAACTCTCATTCTCGTTTGGATCCACTTAAGCATGATGATGGGTTTCCATACGTGTCAGACAACCAGCTGACCACTACAAACTTGAAGCTATTTCTTTCTCATTGCTATTCATCGTGNTTTTTTTTCCTGGAATGAATATGAAAAAAGTCATTTTTCAGCTGTTTTGGAAACAAACGCTTCAGTTATAGTTACAACCTATAGCTACACTGTTTTCCTGCCCCTCGAATGCAACTTCTCCCCAGGTTGGTATCATATATTCTATTCATGCCTCTCTCTGACCACAAAGCGATTGTTGTTTAATATTCCTAATGTTCTTCGTGTTATATATTCATAACTGATTTCCTAAAATGACTTGATAACAAAATGATTGCTAGTGCTAATGATTGATGAATGATTAACCCATATGTCTATGCATCTGCTAGTTAGTCTAAGCTGACACTCCAATGAAGTGCTGGGGGGTGTGCTGCATCATTGGAGGTGCCATCCTTTGGATGAGATGTTAAACTGAGTTCCCATCTGAAGGACTAAAATATCCATGGCACTATTTAGAAAGAGAAGGGAGTTTTTTTCTCTATAGCCTGGGCAACACTCCACTGCATTGGCCATTCACTCCATGGCCGTTCGTAGGATATTGATGTGTGTAAATAGGCTGCCACATTCACCCACAAAACACACTGCACTTTATAGTATATCCTGCGAAACACTTCATGCATCCTCCTAACGTGAAAAGGACTATACCAAATGTAAGGATTATTGTTATTTTAAAGAATGTGCTTTTCTTCAAATTAACCAGGTTCCAAATTAAGACGGATTAGAATCATTTTCCAAAATTCTGCACCATCTGAAATGTTGAGACAAACTGGCCTTAAAACATGGATTCATTTTGCATTGGTGTGTAAGGTACAACAACAATAACAACAACTCGCATTTATATAGAGCTCTCCACGCTGGTCGGAGTCCCAGAGTGCTTGATGGAACCCGATGCTGAGCCAGGGGGAATGGGAAGGTGACCATGTCGTTTAGTCCTGAGGATAAAGGTAAGGTTGAGTTGAACATTTGGGCAGTTTTCAACACAATAATGGTTCTTACAGAGGTTTGGTCAGCTTTCGAATGGTTTGGTGTACGTTGAGGAGTTCGAACACGACATGTGGTAATGCTTTTGCCCTTGGTATGAGCCAGATTTCCTAGAAGGAAATAAAAGGAAACCATTTAAATAACACAAGATCACAAGAGATTTGTATAGATTGTACAGCACAGATGCAGGCCATTTGGTCATTGTCAGTATTTATACTCCACTTGAGTCTCCAACCATATGTTACCAGGGATAATGGACTTAGTTATGTGGAGAAACTGTTCTCCTTAGAGCAGAGATAGATAAGGGGAGATTTAATAGACGTGTTCAAAATTCTGAGGGGTTTTGATAACAGATATGGAGAAATTATTTCCACTCCTTCCCACTACACCTGGCCAGGTGGGTCGGCAACCAGAGGACATGGATTTAAAACAATTAGCAAAAGAACCAGAGGGGAGATGGGGAGACTTTTGTTTTTACATGTCGGGAGGACGTCCCAAGGCTCAGGACAGTCAGTGATTTGGACCAGAGCGGGGGTTTGGGATCAGGGAGGGTGGAGGGCAGGGAGGGCAGGAGGGTGGCTGAAGGTGCGGTCGAAGAGGACGATCTTGATACGTGAACTGAATTTAAGTACAGTTCAGATACCCAAGTACCTCACCATACTTACATCACTGAACCGCCGTGCATTAGTCACCACCAGAATTCAGCTATTAGAAATGGGGGTAATGTGCTTTCTATTTCTCAGTAATGTCGTGCTTTCTGCAGTGATGCTAAATCATCATTCATATTTCCATCACTTTATGACTGACTGCATCACTTTCTATAACCAATTATTTACAGAAGTGGCAGTGACCTTTAGACTTCACAAAATACTGAAATGTCAATCTAGTGCTTCAAGCACGGATAGTGCAGCAACAGAAACTGTACAACTTATACAGCATAACTGGCATTTATTGCTGCCCGCTTAATGTTGCTATATAGGTACTCGGAAGCTTTTGCCTGAAATTAAATGGGCAGCTGAAAAGGAAAGAAATAAACAAAATCCTACCTTTAATATAAAGGGTTAGTCAAATGCAATTTGGAGTTGCCTGAAAATATAGGGCCTTGAAATAAGAGTCGACCCTCCCACTGTTTTCCAATCACTGCATCCGGCTGTTTTTGCATGACAAAAAGCAGGCACCAAAAAATCATGGTGGTGTCAGCCCTGTGATTGTTTCAGCTGACTGACACGAGAAAGAAACAAGGGGCCTCTTCCCCAAGCAATGGCGTAGGACAATTCAGATAGGCTTTCGGTAGTTATCACTGAGTCGGTGGCACGATAATTATTTGCTCCGCTGAATTTTATCTTACTGCCAAATAAACAAACAAACAAATAAATAAGCCTTGCATTTAATATGGAATCTTTCATGTCAGGAGGACGCCTCAAAGCACTGCTCAGGATTCACTGTGAAGTGTAGTGACTCTGTATCTTTCTCGGCCAAGGGTAAATTAACAATAATAATTTAATAATCCTTGCATTTGATATAGAGCCTTATCATGTCTTCAGACGTCTCAAAGCGCTTCACAGAATATACTGTAAAGTGTAGTGACTGTATATTTTGTGGGCGACATGCGGCAGCCAATTGCACAGAGCAGTGTCCCACAAACAGTCATGGATTGAGTGACCAAATAATTTTTTATATATTTTGAAGGAATTATTACCCCCGGAAAACCCAAACACCAATTAACTAACAACCAGGTTCCTACATACTGCGAGTTAAACAGAGGCATGTGGAGTAAGGAAACTCGCCCAACAGTTTGCCTTACTAGGAAACGAACTAACCACTAATCTACAGGACTCCACGAGCCTGGTGCAATCCAACATCCACGCACACAGACTTCTAAGTAGAACTATTGGATAATGATTAGAAGTAGGAAACCTGTCTGATTTTCTCCTCCTCAATCCAGAGGCAGTCAGACCAATTGCAACACCCCAACAGCCACCCTGGTTGAGAATATGTATGTTAGCACAGACCAAAAATTGACATTCAGTACTGTAGAGGAAAGGTTCAGTCTTGCATGCCTTAGTGCGTCTTTCTTAGGTGTGACACAAAACTTTGGAATGCAGTAAACAGTGGTTCGGTGGTAGCACTCTAACCTCTCAATCAAACCTTATGCTGAGACTTTGAATTCCCAGTCTAGGCTGATAATCCGATGCAGTGCTGGGGGAGCATAGTATTGTTGGAGGCGCTGTCTTTCGGATGAGACATAGAATCATAGAATCATAAGAATATTACAACTCAGATGAGGCCATTCAGCACATCGTACCTGTGCCAGCTCTTTGAAAGAGCTACCCAATCAGTCCCACTCCCCTGCTCTTTCCCCATATCCCTGCAATTTTTTCCTTTTCAGGTACCTATCTAATTCCCTTTTGAAAGTTGTTATTGAATGTTTCCATCACCCTTCCAGGCAATGCATTCCAGACCGTAAAAACTCTCTGTGTAAAAAAAATTCTAATTTCCCCTGTGGTTCTTTTGCCAATTACCTCAAATCTATGTATTTTGGTTACTGAACCACCAGCCAGTGGAATCAGTTTCTTCTTATTTACTCTATCAAAACACCTCATAATTTTGAACACCTCTATTAAATCTCCCCTTAACCTTCTCTGCTCTAAGGAGAATAATCTCAGCTTCTCTAGACTCTCCACATAACTAAAGTCCCTCATCCCTGGTACCGTTCTGATAAATCTCCTCTGCACCCTTTCCAAGGCCTTGATATCCTTCCTAAAGTGTGGTGCCCAGAATTGGACACAACACTCCAGCTGAGGCTTAACCAGTGACTTATGAAAGGTTTAGCAGAACTTTCTCGCTTTTGTACTCAATGCCGCTTTTTATAAAGCCAAGGTTCCCATATGTTTTTTTAACAACTCTATCAACCTGTCCTGCCACTGTGTATGTGAACCCCCAAGTTCTCTCTGCTTCTGTACCCCCTTTAAAACTGTTACCATTTATTGAAAATTGCTTCTCCTCGTTCTTCCTCCCAAAATGCAGCACCTCACATTTCTCTGCTTTAAACTTCATCTGCCACGTGTCTGCCCATTTCACCAGTCTGTCTATGTCCTCCTGCTACCATCCTCTTCACTGTTTACTACATTCCCAAGTTTTGTGTCATTCTCAAAGTTTAACATTTTACTCTCGATACCCAAGTCCAAGTCACTCACATATATCAAAAAGAGCAGTGGACCTAATACTGCTCAGTGGGGCCCCTGGGGGACACCATTGTATACTTCCCGCCAGTCTGAAAAACAACCATTCAACACAACCCTCTTTCTATCACCCAGCCAATTTCTTATCCACACTGCCGCTATCCCTTTTATCCCAAGGGCTTCAATTTTGCAAACTAGTCTACTATGTGGCAGCTTATCAAACGCCTTCTGAAAGTCCATATACTCTATATCAACATCACTACCATCATCAATCCTCTCCGTTATATCATCAAAGAACTCGATTAAGTTTAAACCAAAGTCCAGTCTGCCTGTCCAGGTGGACGTTAAAAGTCCCATGGCACTACTTGAAAAGAGAAGAGAGTTTCTCTCGATGTCCTGACCAACAATCTCCTGGCTAAAAATTGATCATTCACTTCATGGCTGTTTGTGGGACATTGCTGTGCAGTAAATTGGTAGCCCTTCATCACAAATGTCACCAAGTCAATCTCGGATGAGATTTTCACGTCTAAAGCAGGAACATCTAAACTATGGTCAATTCCCAGACTCATTCAGTCCAGTGCTCTAGGGTTAATGCACTGCCCTTGTTTATGATCCATGGTCCACACAGAGACATCCAAACAGCATTCTAGCAGGGTCACCTCGGTGTGGCTACTGTGAAGAAGCAATTGCAACATTCACATCGCTTTCACCCAGCATTTCCCTTGTGCGGCCCACTGTCATAAGGCTTCATTAAGAGCTAGCATTCTCATCATGTATGATATGCTATGTTGCGCACATTCACTCGCACACTCAAAAGAACACAATAATTACTAGACAAAGAAGACCAAGGTCCATCCAGTTCGCCTTCCACCATCCTGGCAGTCGCATACACATGTTGTGTCCCAAACTACTTACTGTGTAGATTGACGTAGGCTGTATAGTTCTACATGTACTCGTACCTAAGTGTAGTCCAGGTTACCACACATTGGTTGGGATCCTTAAAAAATAACACTGTTGTATAAGGGAGCGTGTTACAGTGTGGCACGCACACACTCTGAGGGTTGCTAGGTTGCAGGGGGCACCACCATTGCATCGGAGTGTCAGTTTAGACTATGTGAGTTCATTGTCGAAATGGTACTGGAACCTGCAGGCTTCTGACTCAGAGGAGCCAGGCTGATACCCATATCCGAATCTGTGGTACACTGAGGCATGCTATAACAGGCGTACTGTACATAAATGTGACTATATTCCTGCATACTTAAAAAAAATTGCACAAGCACATCCTCGCACACAACCACAACACACACCAAGCCTATCAGGCTTCACCAAGAGGGAATCTCCTTCTTTAATAGGTTGTAGTGACTGAGCTGCACCTGTTTTTGTAAGCGGATGTGTTACAAGCTGCCTGGTGAGGTGATTGTCAGCTGATCGCAGTAGCAGTACTATATCCGCTGGCAATGTATCCCGGTTCTTTGCCAGGAAGCCACTGGCATTGTAAAGGACCTATAATGTGGAAGATAAAGTGACAATCAGATGAACGTCACTTGGTCAGTAACACAAGTGAAGAGCAAAGTTTGATGGAAAAGACCTTGAATCTGCCCTGAGCATAGTTTCAGAAATGTCTTTGATGAAAGTCTCAGTGCAGATCAGTTTCCAGCCCTACAAAGAGCCATGACTCATTCATGGATGAAGAAAGCCAAATGATAATAGCTCTCATTTGTTACCAGATTTTAGATGGACAACCTCACAACTCAGTTACTGAATGATCCTTGCACCTTTCCTGTCATCCAGTGCAGATAATAGAACAAATATTTATATTAAATGGCCCTCATCACTGTGCAACCAAATTAGTTACTATTTTGCTCCAAATTACTTTCCATGGATTAATAGATATATGATTATAAATTGCACACATCTTATAGGCAATGTTCCTGGCTTCAATGGATGACACATTTAATGAGAGGACCTGGGTTCAATTCCTTGGCAGGGTGAAATGTTGGGCAAGTTTCCTTACTCCACACACCTCTGTTTGCCTAGCAGTAAGTAGGAACCCGTTACTTGATTGGCGGATCACTTTTCCAGGTGTAATAATTCCTTCAAAATAAGTAAAAATTATTTGGTCACTCAATCCATGACTGTTTGTGGGACACTGCTGTGTGCAATTGGCTGCCTGTTTCGGCCACAAAATATGCAATCAATTCACTATACAGTATATTCTGTGAAGCTCTTTGAGACGTCTTGAAGACGTGATAAGGCGCTATATCAAATGCAAGCATTCTTATTATAGCTGTCTATGGGGATTAAACAATAAATTCGCAATTATATGGCATCTTTCACATTGGGAGGAAATGCAATTGTCTGGTAGCCCAAGCTTGGGAGAGGGATGTGCAGGGCATGGATGTCTCTTACCTTTCCTGCGTAATGATGAATTCCGAAACCTAAGTCAACTCGTTTTGGTCTCCAGAAGTACTTTGATTTGAGGTTGACTTCAAATTTTTCTGGTGATGAAATATATTGTGTCATTACAGTCATGTAATGCTTTACTCATTTGTATCAGATATTGTAACATTCCAGGAGCCGTGACCTAGATGGCTCACCAAATAGATTACAAACATGCCAGAACAATTAGGGTACAGGAAAAGTACCTTCTGTTAAACAAAGTGTGGTCTGTTGAATTGAATTGCATTAAATAATAATCCAGTTCACAGTCACTGGGAAAATCAAATTGCTCTGCTGTGCAATGACACCAAAAAACAACCTGCATTTATATAGCGCCTTACACATAGTGTCTCAAACAGAACTTGCCTACAAGTGTCTGGTCAGTAGCTTGCGGGAAGCAAATTTCTTCATCCAGCAGTGAGAGGAGACCCATGGGTTTCTGCAGAAACATGTCCAGCAGCGGCCGATTGTCTTCGTATTCAACCAAACGAGCATCCACGTCTTCATTTAGGTACTCATTCTGCAAAGCAGATCGTCAGCACCTATTAGCCCAACTCTCAGGCATTCTTCATTAGAACTGTATAGATTTACAGCGCACAGAAGATGACCGTTCAGCCATCATGTCTGTGCTGGCTCTTTCAAGAACAATCTTTTCAGTCCCAATTACCTGCCCTTTTCTCAGATCCCGACATATCATTTTGTTCCATTGGTGTTTGGATGATTCAGTTTGTTGATAATACCAATAAAGATGCTTGAATTTGATATGGCACATTTCATATTATTAATATTAATAATTATCATCATCCTTGCAGTTGATAAAGCACTTATCTAGTCAACTGGCAACCATCTTTTCCTCTTAAAAGTTTTAAGAGGAAGAGCAAAAACTGTATTGCAGCTCAGATCAGCCAACAGCTCAGGTTGATTTGATATGAACCTGGGACTTTTCTGGTCTGTATGGCTTTACGAGGTAAGCAGGTGTACGAATCTTTCAGTTGTTACAAACAATATATCAAGACCACAAAGTATGCCTTTAGATTATATTACATGTAATGAAGCGGTGAACTTTAGCTCCTTAAATAAGCTGATGCATGCTATCAGTGAAGCTAAGTGTGAGACAGACAAGCACGATAACCTCTGTGACTGTCCATTAGCTCCATTATTATATTCTAAACTGCTTCCTTTGCATTTGATTTTCCTATTTTCCATACAAAGTTGCTCTTCATTGACACACAGCATTAACTCAACCCTTCCTACAGGTGTCAAGTTTGCAAAGAACAGGACACGTTAGGTGTGAGAACTTGACATGGTCCACAATAAGAGAGAAAACAAATTTACATTTATGTGACGTCCTTCACATGAGGACATCCCAAGGTACATAACTGGCCTGACACCCGAGCTGAGGGTGGGATCCGAGGGGAAAGATGACAAAGGTGCGGTCAAAGAGGCAAGTTTTGAAATGGACCTTGAAAGACGAGAGGGAGGGAGAGAGTCTGAGGGACTCTAGGATGGAGTCTAGAGTTGGGGGAGATAGGCTGAAAGCCCAATAAAGGGAAAAGGGTGCTGGAAATGTTATATATTAATAGTGGGGCTCATTCATGTAAATAGCAGAGGAGTCGGTAGAGGAGTCGGGTAGGAGTAGATCATAGAGATAGGGAAGTGCTAGGACATGAAAGGATTTATAGCTGAGGGTTAAAACCTTGAAGGACAGATTTTAATCGTAATTCTCTGTCCATTCCTTAATTATCTCCAGCATTAATTACGGAACAGGATGCAGTTAAGAACACCACAGTTTTCTCCCAATATGTTAAGCAATAATGCTTGCTATATTTCCAACAGTGAAGTCATGACTAATTGTAAGGTATGTGGGTAACAGCCTGAACACTAAACCCTGACTATTGGTTTTATCTAAAGTGCTCAGATCATTTAATCTAATAATAGATCGGTTGCTATGGCTAAAGGTTTTTCAGTAATACAACAGCCCCAATGTAAATCAGGCTAATAAACCATTTTTTCAATTGGAAAGTGCAATAGAAGGAGTGCACGTCTGAGTAACCACTCTTCAGATGAAGATTCTCATTAACGGAGAGCCTATAAACTAGTCTCCAATATAATTTCTAACATAACCTTTTTTCTGTTTGCAATGCGTTTAATAGGCCATCTCTCCAGTGACTAAAATGACTGTACCTGCTCCCAGGCAAAGATGTGTTGGTTGAAGTAGAACTGAATCTGTTCGTTGGCAATGTTAATGCACAATTGTTCGAAGGAGTTTTTCTTGAAATTCTCAAAGCCAAAAATATCAAGAATTCCAATACTCAGGGCTTTTTCATCATCATCGCTGGAAGAAAGAATAAAATAAATTAAGAGTTGGATTGCTATAACTTTGCATGTTTGTAACTGTACTGCTAATATGAGATAAAGGCCAAGGACAACCCCTCTAATCACCTAAAGATCACATGCGAGCACGTTCCACCAGGACTGGCATTTGATAATAATAATCAATAATAATCCTTGCATTTGATATAAGGCCTTTCACATCACATTTCAAAGTGCTTCACAGTACTGTATAGACTGTATCTTGTAGGTGAATGCTAATAACAATTTAAAAGTGGAACTGCTGTGCTAGCTAATCTATTTGATTTTCTGGCCGATTAACAACTTAACTGATACATTGGTTATCAGCAAACAGTATAGGTCAGGGATTGAACCTGGAGTCTTCCTGCTCTGTAGGAATTAGTTTCACGCTGGCAGTGGCTTTAGGTCCCCATTTTCTCCCACTGACAGATCGAATAACTATAACAACAACATATTGCATTTGTCTAGCACCTTACAAGTTGGGAGGATGTCCCAAGGTGCTGGACAGTCAAGGGTTTACACCCCGAGCTGGGCATTGGAATCATGAGGGCTGGAGGGTAATGGGAGTGAGGGTCGGAGGATGACCAAAGGCACGGTCAAAAAGGAAGATCTTGAGACAGGCCTTGAAGGAGGGGGCAAGGTGAAAGAACTCTGGGATGGAGTCCCAGAAGGTGGGGGCAGAAAGGCTGAGGGCCCGACTGCCGATGGTGAAATGGGCAGGGCAAGAGATATGGAACAAGCCAGTGTCTGCCGATTGAAGGGAGCGGGCAGGTTGGTAAGGTTTTAGTAGGTCGCAGAGGTAGAAGTAAGAATGCGGAGGGCTTTAAAAGTGCGGACGAAGATCTTAAACCCGATCCTCTGGGGGATGGGAACCAATGAAGCTGGGCAAGGATGGGGGTAATTGGTTCAGGGAGCTTGGTGTGGGAGAGGACATGGGCTGCAGAGTTCTGAATAATCTGAAGCTTGTGGAGAGAAGAGTTGGGAGTTGGGAACTAGACTGAAATTCATTGTAAAAACAATGAGGCATTTATGAGTTGACAGAATAGGTGTTATTTTGGAGTGTTCCTGACATGAACATTTGNAAAAAAAGGTTTTGGGGACCAGATATGGAGAAAAGATAGGAAATGAAAAAATGTGTCATACTTTATCAAATTGATGGACAAGGTTTGATGGGCTGAATGTCCTCCTGTTCTTATTATCCTATGTTCCTTTATGCTGGGTAATGAGCTGCTGATCTGTGGTCCGGCAATTAAAGACAGCGTTGAGTGAGGTGGACAGAGGAGAAAGGCATTTGGCAATGCTATGTATCTCTGACTAGCAAATAGGAGGGGGAATCATACAGTCAATTCACTTTACAGTGTATTTTGTGAAGCGCTTTGAGACGTCCCGAAGACGTGATAAGGCACTACATCAAATGCAAGGATTATTATTATTATTATTAATGCTGGCCAATGCTTCCTTTACTAATAAAGAGTACTGAGGCCAATTTAGCATCCCAACCCTTGCCCCGACTCAGAACAGTTAACATCATAGGCCTGGACTCAAATCGGCAATGTTCTTGTCTAGAAAGTCCTCACTAGGGCAATGCCTTGATCCAACAGTTAATGGAGGCAACTAGTGTGAGCTCCTAATAGGAAATCAACGTAAATTTACTGACTTCCGGAAAATCGCCCCAATCAGTCGCCTTTTGAATAATTTCCCCGTCAGGCACTCCAAACGTTTTGTTAATTTCCGAATAGCTTGTTGCTTTTGTAATGAATGCCAATCTAACTATTAGATCTTTTACTGCTTGTTAAAACGCGTTGCTGATTTTGAATGTTTAAAGAATACTGAATTAGATCAGGCAGCACCGGGTATTAAAATGTCCTAAAGACAGGGGAGGAAGAGGCAGACGTGGATTCCTATTATCTTCCTGTGCTTATAAGTAAATCAATGAGCAGTAGGAGATGCATTAATCTCCCACTAGGTCAGGGAGACACTAAAAATGGCTGACCCAGTGCAATGTAATGATGGCACATTAGAATCTTTAATTGTTTTCTGTAACCTACCATTTAACAAATCAAGATGTGGAGTGCAAAGCATCGATTGGAGAAAATGTAATCATTGTAAATGAAATGATGCATTTAATAAACAGGAAAACGTAAGTTGAAAAATTGGGTTTATCGAGGCGTCAGAATGCCAGAATGGTCATTGGCTTGGTAACTTTCCAATATATTCAAGTCTCCTTATCCCATACATCTCAGTTTACCTGGCAGTAAATAGCAACCCATTTGTCAGTTGATTGGTGGATCGCTTTCTGGGGTTAAGAATCCCTCAAAAAAAAATTGGGTCACTCGATCCACAACTGTTTATGGGACATTGCGGTGCAAAATTGATTGTCTTGCTTTGCCCACAAATAACACAGTCAATCCACTTTATGATATATTCTGTGAAGTGCTTTGAGATGTGTCAATGATGTGATAAGGCGCTATATCAACCACAAGGATTATTATTATTATGACACCTCATTCGTTATTACTCACTCGCTAAATGCGTAAATAGATAACTTTTACAAAAAAAATTTGATGCAATGGGCTGAAATTTGCAGAAATTCAATAGTTAGTGCAAGAAACATGTCATGAAATGATACAAATTTCACCCCAATGCGTGGTACTGAGATTCAAATGTTTAATAATTATCCTATAATAAACTTTGTGTTTGGCAAAGCGCCTTTCACATCGGGAAAACATCTTGAAGCACTTTGCAGGATTTACTGTAATATGGCATGACTGTATTTTACAGGCGAAATAAAATATAGATTTGATCTTAGCCTCCACTGTAGTTGGCATTGTGCTGCCTACGTTATTGATCATTACATTATTGTTATATGTCGATTCTTCAACATGGTAACTTAAGTGTCCCATCATTTCCCTCGGATAGCACAGTCCACATAGCCTTTGACCTTCACAGGCAGAGCTTGTAAACAGGAAAGAACACTGGCTGAACATCTTTCCTTCCCTTTAAGAAAGGACAATTTAACCTGAACACATCACCGTGAAGGAGATATTAGAGAAATACATAACTCCAGGTAGCTTTGCAAAAAGTAGTAATACTGTACTGCTCATTGATTTACCGTTTATGAGAAACCAGTTAAGCAGAGCAGAAATGTAGTTGATTGATGATGTTATTACCTCAGAACTTTCTCAGGTTTCAGTAAGGTATTGATGCGATTGACTATCCAGCTGAAGAGACGACCGTACAAAGTCTTCGCTGTGGCATCTCGGACATCAGTGGCTTTCTCCACAGTATTGGGACGCACAATGGTTTCTCCTCGAGTCACGACGCAGTGAGAGGTCAGAGCCTCCTGCAGCTCATCAGGTCGGATGCACAACAACGAGGCAGCTGAAAAACATAGCAAGGCTTACCCGAGGAGTAATGACGAGAAAAGGAGTAGAGCATAAGAAATGTGATGCTTCATTAAGATTTGGTTGATTCTATGCTGAAAATATTCAATTTTTCATACCATAAAACAAATTTACATTCATAAAGCATCGGGAGCACGTCTCAAGCGCTTAACAATCCTGACTTGGCACCCGAGTTGGGGTTGGGAATTGGGAGGGGGAGGGGAAAAATGGCCAAAAGTGTGGTCAAGGACTGCATTTTTCCACCTCTGCCATGTTGCCCGCCTCCGTCCATACGTCACGCCCATGGCGGCCAAAATCCTCGTCCACGCCTTTGTCACTTCATGGATGAACTTTTCAAATGACCTCCTCTCTGGCCTCCACAGCTCCACCATAAACACAACTAATTCAGATACTCACCCGCATAAAACTCCGTACCCCCATCACACCAGTCCTTGCCAGGCCCCCAATTACCGAACGGATTGATTTCAAGATTCTCTCACTCGTTTTCAAATCCCTTCATGCCCTCGCACCTCCCTACCTATCCGACCTGCTTATCCCCCACTCCAACACCCGCTGCTTCCACTCGGCCGGCTCCAGCCTCCTGTTCGTCCCTCGTCTCCTCCGCTCCGCCATCAGCGGCCGTGCTTTCAGCCACTATGCCCCGAAGCTCTGGAACTCTCTCCCTCAATCCCTCCGCCTTGCCCCTTCCATCCCCACCTTCAAATCCTGCCTAAAAGCCTTTCTTTTTGATCGTACTTACAGTCACCTCCCCCACTCTCTCCCCCTGGCTCGGGATCAGACTCCGCCACTCTCAAGTGCTCCGGGGCACAAGCTTGCGTGAAGGACGCCATATAAATACAAGTTGATGTTGTTATTGTTGTCAAAAAGGTCTATTCTGAAATGTTGGGATGCAAAACCTTCCTCCTCCCCACCCCTGCATAACGTCAGTGCAATGGTTGGGCCTGAAGCTTGTAAATGCCACCATCTTCGATACAACGACTTTCACATCAAGAGGATGTCTCAAAGCATTTTGCAGGATTTGCTTTAAAATATAGTGACTGTGTATTTTGTGGTAAACACGCACTCAATTTGCATTCAACAATACCCTACAAACAGTCAGAAAATGAATGACCAATTATATCTGGGGATTTTGCTCACTGGGAGAAACTCTCTTCTCTTTTTGAATAGTGCCACAGGATCTTTAACAGCCACCTGAACAGGCAGACGGGACCTTAGTTTAATGTCTTGTTCAAAGGACGGCACCTCCAACATTGCAGCACACCCCCAGGGCTTCATTGGTGTATCAGCCTAAAATATACAAGTTCAGTGCACTGACAAAGTGATTGAACCCACAGCCTTCTGACTCAAAGGCGAGAGTGCTACCAACTGAACTAGGTTAACACCTAAACAAATGGAAAGAAAACCAATGCTGGAAATCTTTGCATGAATTAGAACATTTTATGTTATTTTCTTCCTCTGTTTCCTTGAAAGCACTGATTCTTACAAGCTCACAGGTGTTGGCTGTCCCCTGCTAACACAGCAAAATGAGTGTTGGGCGCTATTTAGCATTACCGCTGAGCTTGGTTGTGTCCTCATACAACCCTTACACATATGAATTTTGCTGCAGGAATCACTGGATAACAATCAGTTAGCAGCTTGGAATCCCTGGCTGCCTACTCTAGGGTCCGCTAAAAACTCGGTATGAAAGCAAACATACATTGAAAAGAGTGGTGGTGGAGAACTCATTCCTTCTCAATTTGTAGCTTCGGTCAAGCCATCCCTGACAGTCACTGGGTTCTTATCTGTGATAAAACATTGTCAGTGCAGCTCAATTTATCCCTAACAAAATCTCTATATTTCCAGTGTCCTGACCTTGTCTTTAAGTGCTGATTGTTTCAAGCTCTCTCAATGCAATGCAAAAACTTTGTAAACTATAGAGTGACACAAGACAACAATGTTCATTAAATCTGACTCCACTGTGCTGGCAAGTGTGATACAGGAGATACTACCGTAACTGTGAAGTGGAAATACCAAGGAGTTTCATTATAGATAGGAAACGTCATGGGATCATAAGAGAGGTTCAAATGAAGAAGATCCTTCTTATTTGATCTTATCCTTACAGAATAGCCAACATCCATTCATTATAGCGTCGAGCTATTTCTTACATAAATCCTGCATCATCGGCTCAACCGCCTTTCCTGCTAATCCATTCCAATCATTGTTTACCCTCCGTGCAAAGAAATGCTTCCCGATTCCAGTCCTAAAATTGCCCTTTATAACTTTGAACCTGTGCCCTCCTGATTGTCTTGGATATCGAACAATGATTACAACATGAGTACTGATACCTCTTGTTGTTTTTGTTAAGAGCCATTGAAGTCCTTTTTACTCGCGAAATATAAACCCAGTTTTTTTTTCCTGAGTATTATTTTGCGCCAATGTGGATAAAACCAGGAAAATCGACCTTTGATAATACAACTCCAACTTTCCTCATTCCCCCTCCTAATACCCCTCTATTCTCTTCTCTCATTTGTCCATTAATAAATGCTATTTTAAACACTGAGTGACAATCCACATTGGATTACTAAGAATTTTTTTTTACATCTAGGATACATTATGTGCTTTTAGTTGAGTTTTACGTAAAATCTAAACTGTGTAAAAAGAGTTTGAATATTATTGTTGGGGGGATTTTTTAGACGAAACAGCTCGAACAATGGGAGGTCTGAAAAACAGTGCTGTCAAATAGGTTTCACTCACTCACAGCGACTCCGATTCGATGATGCAGAATGCTGCTGGTGACTGGCAGAACATCTCAGCCAACCTCGCAGCAACCCTGGCAGTTACCAGCAGTACTCCCTGTCAACCACTCTGAGTCAGTCCTATTGCCAATTGCTGCTTTTTTCAACCCTTAATGTGGATAAAGTTTTACACATGGTTGTTCTGGTTCAATTTACTCCAGGTGTCTCCTTTTGTTTTTATTCAGCCGTGTGTCTGACACATGCAGAAACTCATCGCCGTGCTTAAGAGAATCCAAACCAAGCTGAGACTTCCATGCCTCTCACCTACACGTGGAAATCCAAGAGATAGATTGTTAGAATAGAATGCGCACTCTTTCCCTGGAGGGATGCATCCTGCTTACTTACCTAAATTTGGAAAGTATTAGACGCAGGATGGCAAGAGCCAAGGCTTGGGGACCCCAGAGTGTGAGTTGGGGTAACTGCTGGAGTCTAACCAACTAAAACTGCACAGCTTGCCTTTGATATTGCTGTCCGGCAAGCTTTCCCGCTGCTTGTCCAGCTAGGACCACCCTACACGTTAGGGCTTTGGCTTGCAGGGTTAACAGGAACTGAGTGACATGACTCCCTGCCCCCAGTGACTGGTCTTCCCTTCCAGGTCCTGCCATTGAGCTGGGCATTGCTGTGCTCTCATCATTAGTGCCCTGGAATACTGCGGACCCACCTGGCTCAGGAAGCGGACTGGAGACCGTCACAGAGGGCTGACTCGATTCCGACATTCCATTGCCAGGCATGTCGACTTGGAGCCAGTTCAGCTTCAAGGAAAGCCCTGCCTGCTGCCCCCCCCCAGGAGGATAGTCACTAGTTGGTCGTTCGACATCCGATAAGAATGGGTTAATCCTTGCATTTGATATATCCTTGGGACGTCCTTACGACATGAAAGGCACTATATAAATATCATTTTGGACTGTATTGCATATAGCGGCTTATCAAGTCTTTGAGACGTCTCAAAGCGTTTCACAGAATATACTGTAAAATGAATTGATTGTATATTTTGTGGGCAAAACGCGGCAGCCAATTGCGCACAGCAGTGTCCCACAAACAGCCATGGATTAAGTGATCAAATTAATTTTAATTTTATTTTGAAGGGATTATTACCCCCGGAAAAGCGATTCGCCAATAGACTCACAACCGGGTTCCTGCTTACTGCTAGGTAAACAGAGGTGTGTGGAGTAAGGAAACTTGCTCAACGTTTCGCCCTGCCTGGGAATCGAACCCAGGTCCTCTTGCTTGCGAGGTGAGCGCTCTAACCACTAAACTCCGTGACCCCATCTCCCCCACTCTCGCCTGAATCCATTGGCTCCCTATCCTTCATAGGATCCAGTTCAAGATCCTGGTCCTCACAAACAAAGCCTTCCATGGCCTCGCCCCACCCTACCTCTGCGACCTCCTAACCCCCTACCAACCCGCCCATACCCTCCGCTCAGCCGGCTCTGGCCTGTTCAACGTTTCTCGACCCACCCGCCCCACCATTGGCGGGAGAGCCTTCAGCCACTCTGCCCCCAACCTCTGGAATTCCATCCCTCAATCACTCCGCCTCACCCCCTCCTTAGCGTCCTTCAAGTCCCGCCTCAAGACCCTCCTCTTCGACCGTGCCATCGGTCACCCCCCTTCCCCTCCTCAACCTCAGCTCGGGTCTGAAATACTGTACTCTGTCCAGTGCCTTGGGACATCCTCCCGACGTGAAAGGCGCTATACAAATGTAATCTTGTTGTTGTTAAACTGCAGCACTCCACATCTTGGTATTCTTCGATCAAAACCGACCCTTCATTTTGTTTATTTAGAATAATAGTAATAATAATAATAAACCTTACATCCGATATAGTGCCTTTCATGCTGATAGGGTGTCTCAAAGAGCTTCACAGGATTTTACAGTAAAGTGTTGACTGTGTAGGAAAACGTGGCAACCAATTTGTGCACAGCAATGTTCCACAAGTAGCCATGAAATTAATGACCAATTTCACTTCATAGCTGTTTGTAGGACATAACTGTGTGCAAATTGGCTGTCATGTTCATTTACAAATAGTTATTGCAATAAATCCTTTGAGATATTTCAATGACGTGATAAGGAACTACCTCAAATCTAAGTATTACTGTTACAGCCGATGAATGTATCTCACCATTTTCAAGTGCTCCAGGATTAACTATGTTGCTCTTGTCAGTCTGGTGCTCTGATGCAACTGAGTTGAAGTCGATGTTACCAACATTCAGGATGGCTGCTAGGATACTGTAGACACTCCCCAGCTCCTGTAGAAGTCACGTAGAATTACAAAGAAGTTACAGGGTGGAAAGAGGCCATTTGGCCGAACTAGTCTGTGCCAGTGTGTGTATTCCACACATGCCTCCTCCTCTCCTTATCCCATAGCCCCTCATTCACTTCTTCATAGTTTCATATCTTTAGTTGGAGTGTTCATGTCTATGTTGGAGCCTATTGGCCCTTCCTTCCCCACTTTCCCCTCTGCCCTGTTCGACATCCTTCCTGCCACTGTAAAGTGCTCCAAGATGTTATTCTACATGAAGGACATTATATAAATGCAAGTTGTTATTGTTGAAGGTATCTTCACTCAACAGCAGTAGTGGGAGTGGGGACCCCAAATCAAAAGTGCTCTTGAGGTGAACACTGCGGTTGAAAAGGCTGTTGAATGGGACACCTTCAGTGCTAATGGAGCGAGCGCCAGGATAAGGATCTGGAGTGTGAAGCTTGTCTTGCGCAGTGTACCCTCTGCACAGTCACTACGGTCTCTGCTCTCAGGTAATCTCAGCTCTCAGACGCGATCTCACGCTCCGGTGATGTACATGGGGTTCCTGGCACAAAGTGCACTTCAGGCTCCAAGGATGGAACCTTTCGCAGCACATTTCCTGTTCGAGTGTTTTCATGCCCAGTATCAGTACAAATGACTCAAACTATCCTTGTAAAGACCTCTGTATTGAACACATTCCTATGTGTACTGTTTAGAGTTACAGTCATCTCATACCCTGCATTTTGTACCTTTGAATATCTATCGATCTAAAGCCAGATCACGACGACATTGACCATTAGGGTGGAATGTAGCTTGAACCACATGGGCAAGATGTATAGTATGCAGCATCTATCCTACATGCAGGCAATTTCCTAATATTCTCAAAATAAATGTTTCACGCTAACCTCCATTGCAAATCCTATGACCTTGAAGCATTGCTCAATGGCTTCAAACTGGGTCTTGTTGAAAGTGTTGTTCACAATGTCTTGCATCATTTTAATTTTCTCGTGTTGAAGGTACCTAAATGATTTAAGAGGAAGCGAGCACTGGATTAAAGACAGAACTCACACAAAACCGCACGTTTCTTATTTTTATTTGATATTCACGAATTGATGACACTAACACAATAGGTAAAATGGTCTCCCCAGCGCCGTAGATTTCTATTGCTCTACGGCTTCTTAAACTGTGTGGTGATGCTGAGGTGATCTAAGCAGAACTGCAGTGAAACTCTGATAACCCATCACCCCAAGGGAAATAGCTTAAAACATTACTTATCTGAGTTGACAAGTTATCCAATGTGCAGCATCGCAAAAGTACAAAGTAATCAAATATCCGAGAAATTGAATGAACGACTAGTTATGTGGAGTATGGCTACTTATACCAGGGGCTAGTCATCAGAGTTTCACTGTAGTTCTAATTTAAATCATCATTTACATATTTCTTGTGAGTTGTTATGAGTTCTGCCCCAGTACATCAACATTGGAGCGCCCTATAGCAGTACAAGAACATCAGAAATCTACAACACAGAAGGAGGCCGTTCATATTTTAGTGTCGGTGGCAAGTCATTTTCTACTTCACAAACACATCAGAACATTATCAAGCAACAACAGCATCAAGTGGCTTGTAGGTTACGTAAATCTAACTCCACCAGTGTGAGACTCATTTCATACTGAACCCCAGCCCTGTAGCGTTATCATATACCTTACCTTGGAGGTTTGCTTTCAGATAACTTATAATGTGCTAGTTTCTTCTTCTGTGCCAGGCCAGCGTAGACATAGTAAAAAATATGGAAATTTTTCTCCCCTCTGCAATACATAATATATATAAAAAAATACTTTCAGCTTCTAGATTTTTATTATTTTTGTAAGTAAGTTTCCTTACTTTGTAAGTAAGTTTCCTTACTCCACACACAGCCTAATAATAATCCCTCCAAAACCAAAAACAATAATAAATTGGTCATTTTCAATCTACGACTGTTTGTGGGACACTGCTGTGCGCAATTGGTTGCCGCGTTCGCCCACAAATATACAGTCAATTCACTTTACAGTGTGTTCTGTGAAGCGCTTTGGGACATCCTCCTGACGTGAAAAGCGCTATATCAAATGCAAGGATTATTATTATTATTTTTACAAGTTACATTGCTGCTTATTTTTATTCTCTCGTTAATAATTTTGAATAAGATGTGCATAGATTACTCAAGGTATATAGAATCACATGAACACTACAGCACAGAGCAGGCCATTCGGCCCAACTAGTTCACGTTTGTGGCTATACACCATATGAGCCTCTTCTCCTCTTCCATACCTCTCTATTCCCTTCTCCCATTTAGATATGGCTATCTTATAGTTATTAATAATACATCTAATAATAATAATACTTGCATTTATATAGTGCCTTATCATGTCATTGAGATGTCTCAAAGCGCTTCACAGAATATACTGTGTATATACACAGAATAATATATATATTGCCCGCCTCCATCCATACATCACAACCAAAGCAGTTGAAACCCTAGTCAAGGCCTTCGTCACTTCCCGACTATTCCAATGCCCTCTTCACTGGTCTCCTAAGCTTCACCATACACAAAATTCAATTAATTCAAAACTCTGCTGCACGGATACTCACCTGCACAAAACTCCATTCCCCCCATAACACCAGTCCAAGCCAGGCTCCACTGGCTCCCGATTACTGAAAAGCTCGATTTCAAGGTCCTCTCACTCGTTTTCAAATCTCTTCATCCCCTCGCACCTCCCTGCCTATCCAATCCGCTTACCCTCCCCACTCCACCATCCGCTACCTTCACTTGGCTGGCTCTGGCATCCTGCTTGTCTCTCGCCCCCTCCGCTCCATCATCGGTGTCCTTGCCTTCAGCCACTATATCCCGAAACTCTGGAACTCTCTCCTTCAATCCCTCCTAAAGACCTTCCTTTTCGATCGTGCTTGCGGTCACCTNCCCCCCTCTCTCTCCCCCTGGCTCCCTCCTTGTCAGAATGCGGCATTGTCAAGCGCTCTGAGACGCTACCCCATGTTGAAGGGTGCTATATAAGTGAAAGTTCTTGTTCTTGTGCTGTAAAATGGATCGAAACGCAATAGCCAATTGCACACAGCAACGCCCCACAAATGTTCATGGATTGAGTGACCAAATTATTATTTAATGTTTTTTAAGGGATTATTACCGCCGGGAAGTGATCTGCCAATCGACTAACAAACAGGTTCCTACTTACTGATAGATAAACAGAGGTGTATGGAATAAGGAAATTTGTCCAAGGTTTCGCACTGCCTGGGAATTCAACCGGTGTGCTCTCGCTCACGAGGCGATCGCTCTAACCAACATGCTACAGGATTCCCTGTTGCAATTTATTCCCCCTGTGTTTGTTTTTAACTCACCAATAGCCTCTTAATGCCCACCTTATTGAACCTCTATCAAGTCCCTTATCAATCATCTTAATCTGTCCAATCTTTCATGAGAGCTGTATCCATCCATCCATCCCCTGGCAGCTTCCTTTACTTACGAAGCCTGGTTGATGACTCTCGACTTCTCCAACAGATATTCGGAGATCTGTGCTCCCACCACCGTCCCCCCGTAGGTGAATTTCATTTCCAAATATTTGCCAAACCTGCTGGAGTTATCATTGATAATGGTACTGGCGTTCCCGAATGCTTCCAGCAGGTTGTTAACCTGAAGGATTTTCTCCTGCAATGTTCTGTTATTGGCCTGAAGGATGAAAAGGAATAATTTTCCTAAGGGATCAGATTACCTTCTCAACAAAAAAAAACTTCAAAAGGAAACATTTCCTTCATGTGATCTTTCAACTCCCAAATATTTTGCTTTACACTATTTGAAAACCTCGATTTGTTATGTTAACTGCAATTTCACATTTTGTCAACTTGGCTGAGTTGGTAGCACTCACTTCGGAGTCAGGAGGTTGTGGGTTCAAGACTGCAATTGAAACTCTTTTTGAATTATGCGATAAATCGAAAAATATTCAATCAGGAAACATGAATTTTGTTGACCAACCAAAAAAGTCCCCATGAACAGGATTGTTAAGAAACACTGAAACTTATGATTTGGAACGTTTGGAACATCACTCTTGTTTTTAAACTTTAACATCATTATTTTGTTCAAGAATTGATGCTTGTAATTATTTTGTTTATCAAGAATTGATGCTTGTAATTTAGATTGTGGATTAGACTTTCAAAGTGCAGAAAAGCCTCTGTGATAACACGGTTAAGAATCTAACGGTTCATTGATAGTGATAAAACAAAACATGCGCAGGCTGTTATCTTTTCCAAACAGCAACATGTTCAGTGCAGTTAACAAAGGAGTCAAAATCGTAATGATGGTCAGACCAAAGTGAAATCAGCCATCTGGCAGTGCATACCGTTGCTAGAATTTAATCTATGCCTTGAATTTTCATTTACAGCTAAATCCTGATAAATGCATCAAATTCCTCTGCTGATAAATATCCCACTTGAATAACAATTCTACATTGTTAAATTTAAATCAGAAATTCTCAAAAACAGCACTGGATGAGACTGAGCTCAGTGCATTGCAGTTTGGTGCTTAACCCTCTATATGCTTGAATAAGGAACTCTATATAAGAGGAGTGGAAGGGACATTGTGTGATACATTAATATTCTATGCTACAACAACTTGAATAGTGTCTTGGAGCACTGCACAGTGGCGGGATTGGATGCAAAGCAAGGGAGAAGTAGGAGGTCTTACAGTGGGATATAAAATGGGAATGAAATATAGATCATTTTAGAGAGGGAGGGATTGAGCAGATTGTTCCAGAGGTTTGGTGGCTAAGTCCATCAATGTACTCAAATCAGGAGTTCTGTGTAATAGGAGAGAATAGTGAAGAATTTGAGACATTAATTTATTAGTTTTGTCCACCGTTTTTTGAATTAGCAAATATATGTACCAGGAGTGAGAGAAGTGAGCATTTTGTCCCACCAGTAGCCATGAAGTGAATTTTACCTGTGGGAGAAAATGCCTTCTCTTTTCAAATAGTTACACGGTATCTTTAATGTTCACCTGAACAGGCAGACGGCATCTCCGTCAATGCAGCACTCCCCCAGCACTGAACTGGAGTGGGAACCTAGACTATATGAGTTCAAAGTCCTGAGGCGAAGCTTGGATCGACAGCCTTCTTACTCCAAGGTGAGAGTGCTAGCAACTGAGAGTGGCTGACATAGGTTACAATGAGCATCAAAGGGATTTGTAGGGAAGAATATGTATGGGTGAGGAAGTACAGTACCTTTCCCAGAACAGTGAGCTGTTGGACTAAGAAGTGAGCGCTTTCCGTTTTCCCAGCTCCACTTTCTCCACTGATCACAATGCACTGACACAGAGAGACACAGAGAGAGAGAGAGAGAGTAAACATTAAATGCTGCCATATCCACTTATGAAATTATAAACTCATCAAAGAAGGATCTAAATTGGGATCTGATGCAAAGCAGATTTATTGAGTGATTACACGTACCTGATCTGTATTGTAAGTAGCCATTGCCTGGTAAGCAATATCTGCCACAGCAAAGATGTGGGGTGGATTGGCAGTGCGTTTAGCTCCAATGTACAACTTGGAATCCTGTTAGTTACAAAACAAACATTAGTTTCAGCATAACTAAAAGACTCAAAGAGCAGCATATTAGCCTGTTAAGAATATTTTGTCTTAATATTTAAGTTTGTGCAGAATTGTCTTGCAGTGAGAACCTCCTATAGTTTTTGCATGTTGTATGGATACTAATATCACAGGCAAAGACATTCGCGCACTGGTTATGAATGGGGAGAAGGTCCATCATCCTGTAACATAATGCTTTAGCATTGCAAGAGAAGTTAATATCAACATTGTTGAAAGCCACTTCGGCTGAAGGAATTTCGCTTGCAGTGTGATAGTTCAGTTCATGTTATTTTCACTGAGGTCACATTATATACTGCACACTCTTCATATCTTATGTCTGATGTCAAAAACAAGGATAGTGCAATGCGATCTTTGATATCCATCTGATCAGGCAGACAGGACCTCAGTTTGATGCACTTCTAAACAATGCAGCATTACCCCCAGCACTCTATTGAAGTTTCATCCTGAACTGTGGGTTGAAAGTCTTAACATGGGGTCTTGAAACCATAACCTTCCGACTCAGAGGCGGAAGTGACTGAGCCAGACTGACACCTGACTTTATTTTAGTCCGTGAGATCGGGAAAACACTTATTTCAGGCTGAGTGCAGCCTATAGGTTTGTAACTTTAACACACAAACGTAATTTTAAGGCAATATCTGGTGAAGCAGGGTTTGATTGTGGTACCCATAGCTGGGAATAATTTTGGTTTCCTGTTCAGTGGTGAGAATATTCACGTCACATCCTGCACCACCACCGGCTCCCGTCAATGTCTTCTCTTCTGCGGGTCTGAACTCCTCAACCTCCCTGGGCTCTCCTTCAAACTCACCGAACCCGTGCGCAACTCACACATCAGGTCTGATCCCAGGCTTTTTCTTCCACATCCGTTCCCTGACCAGGACCACTTTTTTCCATCTCCTCCACATTGCCCGCCTCCATCTGTACCTCACAACCAAAGCAGCCAAAACCCTCATCCACATCTTCGTCACTTCCCAGCTGGACTATTCCAATTCCCTGCTCGCTGGTCTCCCCATCTCTACCATACACAATATCCAATTAATTCAAAACATTGCCACCCAGATACTCATGTGCACAAAGCTCTATACCCCCATCATCTGTCCTTGCCAGGCTCCACTGGCTCCCAATCACCGAGCGGATCAATTTAAAAATTCTTTCACTCGTTTTTAAATCCCTTCAGGCCCTCGCACCTCCCTATCTATCCGACCTGCTTAACCCCCACTCCCCCACCCGCTGCCTCTGCTCAGCTGGCTCCAGCCTCCTGTTTGTTCCTCGTTCCCTCCGTTCCACCATCGGTGACCGCGCCTTCAACCACTACGCCCCGAATCTCGGGAACTCTTTCTCTCAATCCCTCAGCCTCCCTACTTTCAAATCCCACCTAAAGACCTTCCTTTTTGATCGTGCTTACGGTCACCTCACCCCTCCCTTTCTCCCTGGCTCGGTGTCAGACTTCATCACTATCAAGCGCTCCGGGACACTACCCTATGTGAAGGGCGCTATATAAATGTAAGTTGTTGCTGTTGATATCATAATGGAAATAGCCTTCTCTGTGGTCTATCTTCTTTTCTTTCTCCAAAGATGATAGATGATTGGATTGAAATTTTTTTTTGCAAGGCTATGGGGAAAGAGCGGAGAAGTGGGACTAATTGGATCATTGTTTCAAAGAGCTGACCCAGGCACGATGGGTCAAACGGCCTCCTTCTGTGCTGTAAGATTCTCTGATTCTCTGATTTAAACCGGAGGTTATTTGGAAGACTGGGGTGACAAAACGACAAGATTGGTTCAGATGAAGAATTAATTTCCTCAGCCCATTTGATTTAATTCTCCCAGAATACCCACCAACAATTTTCCCATCACAGTATCAAGCTAGACATTTTATACATACCCAGCATGCTGGCCTCAACTGCCCTTTCTGGAAAACTATTCCAATTGTCATTCGTCCTCTGGGTGAAGAGATACTTCTAAGTGTCTATCCCTAAATTACTCTTTGCAACTCTAAACCTATTTCCTCTTGTTCTACCATCTTCTTGCATCTGAAAATGTTATTCCGAGCTTACGTTTTGAAACCCATTTGAAATTTTGTATAAGGTTTCCCCTGACACATGTCCCTTCAAGACTGAAGAGCCCTAGCTTGTCTTGCTCATGTTGTAGCTAGTGGACTATCAATCAATGACAGTGCCAGATCTGGTAATACATGAAAAAAAAGGACAGTTTCATTTTCAGCTCCAGTTCAGGTTTCACTGACTGCTTTTCCTGTCATATGGGGAATGTGTTAAATCTGCAGCTAATAAAATGGAACAGATTTGTATTCAAATTTTCTGAGTCAATTCCAAGTAAAATAAATCAAAAATGCAAGCACCAAGGGAAGTTTGTTGAAGGTAATATTTAGCTAATCTTTGAGACGACATTTACGACTGTGACGAATTGAATACACAAGTAGAGAATTGCAACACTCTTAATATGGAAAGCTAAAAGGAATCAACCGCCTGTTCCTTCAATCTACAATATTATGCAATATTTCATTGACTTGTAAAAGGGAAAGCAATTATGTTACTGTGAATGATCAGATTCTATTAAGATTTTGAAAAGTTTTGAGACGGAATTTTAGAGATGATTTCTTTAACGTCGAGTGCCAGGGAAGAAGTTGAAGTTTAGTAACTCAATAGAATGGTAGACCTCTATCTTAATGTTACAGACATCTGTCGATTCTATTCTCGAGTGTTCCAACAATAACTTTTTCTTTACAAAACAACATCAACTTCCTAATAAAGTGGCATCCAGAAGCCTGATGAAAAGTGAAACATCAGGTGCGCAGTTTGCTCGGTGAATAATAGTCGATGTGTAACAATGTGCCATGAATCGTACTTTTAAAAAAAAATTGGGGCTAACCTCGGAGGAGTAGATGTCCAGTTTCTGGAATGGGTTAACAGCGATAAGGATATCTCCGACATGAGTGTATATCTGTTCCTGACTGTAGCGCTTTTGCAGCTGTTCTGTGACTGTATTCTGTTAGGAGACAATAAAGAGCCAGTAAAGTGCAACAGTCGTGGCTTTTGAAATCAAAAATCAATCACGAGAAATAAATTCTAATTCTGCACTTTGCCCCTCCACTTTAATTTCCTTCATCCCTCTTTTTACCAAGGAATCTTTGAACGCGAGCCAGTTTGAGCAAATTACTTTCTGATGAAACACGGCCACAATGCAGCAAAGAGCAGCAAATGAGTTAAAATTCTCTTACTTCGTCTAACACTTCCAGCGTAGCAAGATCGTCCACGTTATCTAGGTTTGAGCCGCCGCTATTCCTCGTGTGCTGACCTTTCTTTGTGTGGATACGTTCATGCCTTCAAAATAAAACATTAAAAAGTGCAATCTGATAAGCGCACGCGAAGGAACATCGCAGATCGATTCGAAGCACAAATTTGACTGCAATATCAATGTGTCGTTTTGCTCTTCCTTCATTTTAAGTTCTACGATCAAATAAAAATACGTAAATCCCAAGCCAGGCAGCGGACCTCCAAATTTCTAACAGATCCTTATCGGAACCTTTATTTAAACCACCACTGTTTAAATGTACAAAATCCAGTATGTTTCCATTGTATTACTAATATTATAGCACCCTATTCTTTTCATGGTTAGTTCCACAGGTAACATCATGGGTTGAAAGTAGGTGACTGGGAGGAGGTGATGTAAGTACGATCAAAAAGGAAGGTCTTTAAGTGGGATTTGAAAGTGGGGAGGAAGGGGGCAAGGTAGAGGGATTGAGGGAGGGAGTTCCAGAGCTTCGGGGCGTAATGACTGAAAGCATGGCCACCGATTGTGGAGCGGAGGGGACGAGGGGTGAACAAGGGGCTGAAGCCGGCCGAGCGGAGGCAGCGGGTGGTGGAGTGGGGGGTAAGTAAATCGGATAGGCAGGGATGAGCGAGGGCATGAAGGGATGCTGTAAAGTGTAAGTGCCCTATAAAGCGTTCTGTAATGAGAATTGACTGTATATTTGTGGGCAAAACGCGACAGCCAATTGCGCACAGCAGAGTCCTACAAAACAGTCGTGGACTGAGTGGCCAAATTACTATTTTAAAAAAATTGGGGAGATTATAACCCCAGGAATGTAATCTGTCAATCAACTAACAACCGGGTTCCTACTTACTACTAGGTAAACAGAGGCGTGTGGAGTAAGGAAACTTACCTAATGTTTCGCTCTACCGGGGAATCGAACCCAGGTCCTCTCGTTTGCGAGGCGAGTGCTTTAACCACTAAGCTACGGGACTCAAATTTTAAGGATATGCCCCCATAGAATGGATCCCTCGGTCAAAGGAAAGAGATATCCACTATCTAACATGTCAATTCCTTTCATTATTTTAAATACCTCAATCAAATGAAATCAATCAAACAAGGTGGCAACACATGTTAGGATCCTGTCAAAATTAATGATTGCTCAAACCCGCCACAAGAGAATGTAAGTGGGCAGGTATACTCAACTCGGGAATGAAACTGCCATTTCATAACAGATTTGATGGGATAATTATAATAACAATCCTTACATTTGATATAGTGCCTTTCACATCAGAAGGATGTCTCGAAACGGCTCACAAAATGCACTGTAAAGTGGAATAACAGTGGGCAAATGTGGCAGCCAATTTGCACACAATTTCCCACAAAAAGCCATGGAATGAATGACCAATTTTATTTAGGGGCCTGTTCGCCATGACACTGGGACAAACTCCCTTTTCTTTTCGAATAATGCCGCAGGATAATAATAATAAGAAGAATAGGAATAATAATAGTAGTAAATTGGTCACTTCAATGCATGACTGTATGTGGGACACTGCTGTACGCCAGTGGCTGCCAGGTTTCGCCCACGAAATATTCAATTCAATTTACAGTATGTTCTGTGAAGCGCTTTGAGACGCCTAGAAGACGTGATAAGGCAGCATATCAAATGCAAGGAATACTATTATCTCTAATGACCATTGGAACTGACACAGATGGGGATTTGGTTTAATACATCATCCGAACGATGGCACCTCTAACCATGCAGGATACCCCAGCGCTGAATTGGAGTGTTAGTCTGGATTATATGAGTTCCAAGTTCCAACGCGGGGCTTGAACTCACAACCTTTCGACTCAGAGACGGGCCTGCTACCGACTGAGACAGACTGACGCACATTATCACGTGGCGTCTGTTGTGATTTTTTTTAATCCCTCTGCGTGCTGTTGCGACGAGCTACCTGCGAAGATACGGCAATGCGATCTCAAGCGTTGCTTATTGAATGCACTTTGCATACTTAGAACAACATCTAGATTTACTCACTGAGCCTGAAAGCACACACAGCCTTGTTTAAAATTCAAAGCACGCTCAAAATATTAGAATAATCAAACGCTGTCCAACAAGCCAGCAGCAGAGCAGCGGGTCTGTCGCATGGAGAATTCCACAAGCACTGGTGTCGGAGCTCGGTTCCTGACTTTCAATTTCGAAGAAGCCAATCCCTTTCTGACATTAATTAAAAATAAATGGAACACATTCAGGTGGAGACAGCTGGGCCCCCGCTCCTTTGGAAAGCTAATTACAGTACTTGGAAGCAGTCAAGGTGTCAGCCCTGGTCCTTAAACCTATAACGACTCTAAAGCTGGGTTCAGGTTACAGCGTCGGTATAAACTAAACAATGTAGCCTATGTGCCAATGAGGAACTTTAACATCATGTCCCACAGTGGGTGTCAGCAGTGACTGGGGCAGCTTGCATTCAACTCCAGGGCGGGAGCGGAGGGGATGACTCGGGGGCGAAAAAGGCATCATTTGATTCCATAATTATCGCTGGAAATAAATAGCACTTTGTTGGACATTTCACTCTTACTGATGTCACATAGAACAGGGAGAGAGTGCGCTTTCCAGTCCTGACTCGGGGACCTTTCAGTGTGTAGGTGGCATACATATGAGGCATTCTCAGTTTGGTTTAGATACTCATTCGCATGGTGATAAGTTTCTGGACATGTCAGACACCAGGCTGACAAAAAAAATCCCTTAGGACCATAGAAAAACAGGATCAGGAAGAGACCATTTAGCCCATCAATCCTGTTCAGCCAGTTTATTAGATTTTGTCATATTTTTAACCCAATTGTCTGTCCTTTCACCAAACCCCTTAATATCTCCCAGTTGATGTCCTGTTGATCACAACATTTCAGAGCCGGTTTGTGGAACCATTATTTCCCTTGTGGGGGGGGAGGTGGCAGGGAAGATAAGTGATCTGGCTCCAAGGTGACATGATTGACAATGTCAGAATTGCGACAACACTCTGTGGTGGTCTCGGTAGTCCAGTTCCTGAGCCAGAAGGGTCCACAGTACTCCAGGGCACTGCTGATGACAGCACAGGCAACTTGGCTGATTGGTAGGACATGGAGGGACAGATCAGTCACTGTCCCCCAAAAAATAGACTTAACTCAATTTGCGTTAAGATGGTATTCTGCGAATCTGCTCTGAAATGTTGTGGCCTACATGTCGGTAGGTTAAGAGGTTTCCTTGGGCTTCCTTCTTTGGGTCTGTGAGGCCAACAATTTTCACAGTCAGATGCGCTGGGTTGGTGGAGTGAACATTTGTGTTGTTCGCCAGTTATTGATGCACAGTTATCACCAGCTGTCAATTGGGATGACATCTGACAATATGATAAACAACGTCACATTTTGCCCCCAGACTTTATGTAAACGTGTTACGTGAAGACACCACCCTTCCTTGGCACGTATGTCCCACTCCCACGGAGGGAGACTGAAACAAAGCAAAGGTGGTAGGGGTCCGAAAACAGAAAACCCCCCACTATTGGCTGATGTACACGATCTCACCTCCATCACGCCACGTCACACAATGACATCACCCACAAGCGCAGGTGAAACACAGGTCATGCGACTTATCGCAACGAGCATACGACACATGAAAAAGGAAGGCAACCCACTGACAGCCTCTCTACCACTTTGACGGCCACCCCCATGTCTGCAATTTAGAAGACCCTAAATTTATTCAGTGACTAGTGACCAAAGTATGTCCTTCCCTCCTTGATCGAAATCAATTCGAAATCCGTCCAAATGTTAATATCTGGCTTGTGATCGAGACCACCAAGACCGCCACAGAGGGTTGACTCGATTCTGACATTCCATTGCCAAGCATGTCACCTTGAAGCCAGCTCATCTCCTAGGAGACAGACTCCACTTACCTCCCCGCCCCAATCCTTCATTTTATCTGCTCTCTCATGGAATCACAGAAAGTTCACAGTACATACGGAAGCCATTCTATATCCGTCGTGTTCTTTCCTCAACTTTTCTCTCTACTGATAAGATGATTGATTTTTTTTAAGACTGAGAGGGCATCTGATAGATTTGTTTAAGACTTTGAATGGATTCAAGGATGTTGATAGACTGATTCCACTTGTTGGCAAGTCCAAAATGAGGGGGGAGGTGGGGGGGGGGGGGGACGCGTAAATATACAAAGCTAGTGACTAAAACAGAATTTAAGGAGGAAATTCTTCATGTAGAGGTTGGTGACAATGTGGAACTCATTGCCAGAAGCTGTGGTTAAAGCAAAGAGTATTAATTCACGATGAAACTTGAGGTGTGCGTGAGAGAGAATGGAATAGAGGGTTATAGCAGAGAGGAATATGAGTGATGGTGTGCTTGTGGAGTATAAACAATGGCATTGATATCTGTGCCACTGTCCTGTTCCACATAACTCTATGTAGCTTCCCCATTATCTAATAATACCATTTACTCTGTTCTATCTTCTTCTACCTTTAACATCTCGTTTAAACGCTGTCATAAACTCAGCTCCAACGATCATTTATGGCAAGACACTGTGCACTCCAACAATCCTCTCAGCTCCTCCGTTCTATTTAGTAAGGCCAATATTCTCATGGAATTGAGGAGCAGAGACTTGCGGTAGGCATTACTTTTCTTTATCCTTCCTATGGAAATGCAGTGTACATTTTTTGTATTGAATTTAATTTGCCACTTCTCTGCTCTTCCACTAACTTATCTATGTCTTCCCGCAGTCCCCTACACTTCTTCTCTGTCTCTTGGCTTGCTCATACTCATCCATCTTGTCTTCACTGTGATTTTATACTATGGATAAAGGCAGATTAGTATTGCGTCAATTAAGCCTGACTAAAAATACAGGATCAACACCAATTAAAGTTGCGTGCTAAAGATAAACGGGTTAATTGTGGTTAGTGTATCAACCCTTTGGCTACAACAACAACAAATTACAGGGAATCAAATAAAATGTGGGACCATCCTAGTCTGTCCGCCTACAAATTACACAGTCTTTACACTTTACCTCGAATCCTGTAAAATGCAATGAAATGTTTTGTGATAAGGTACTATATTAAAAGCAGTGGTGGGCACATTCGCCCACAAAACAGTCACCACACTTTATAGTATATCTTGTGAAGCCTTTGAGATGACCTCCTGATGTGAAATGCACTATATCATATTATTATTATTATTTCTTATTCAAGGGTCTCACGAGGCAATGTGCGTGCCATTGTGAGGAACTGGAAAATGCACTTTGTGTCTGACGTATTCCCATTTCTCCAGCCAAAACGTTCTCAACCAGTGCATTTAGCAGTCAGTTTCTCTCCCCAATGTGACTGGATCATAGCCAATATCAAACCTTGTGTCAGATATACAGGGAACCCATGTTGGGGTACAGTAGCTACTGCCAGTCACCCAGTGATATTCACGGTGTCTGAAGCTGCCTTGATTCACAGACAAAGATACAAACAGAATCATTTGTTGTTAGGCTCCAAACAGCCCGCTTCATCCTGTCGCTGGCAGAGTCCGTGGAAACAGTCAATCAATTGCAGAGGGAAAAAGTAATGAAGGGGAATGCAAGTAAAACAGGAGGACGCAAAGCAGAATGCAACAGGGAAGCGTGTGCGAAAACAACTAAGGATCAGGGGTAGGAATCAACCTTGCAGCTCGCAATGAAAAGAAAATAATGATTGCGGAATAAGAAATCATTCCAGAAATGGAAACACGGAAAACAAAGGTAAAAGGCACGCGAGAGCATAGATCCGCTTTATAATCCTTCAGGCACACGTCATTATTTGCAGTATAACAGTAAGCTATTTTAGAATTCCCATTTATAGAGAATCCATATAAAATAGCCTCTCTGTAAGACATTTGTGAGATGGAGCCAAAAGATTGCCTCATAAAGAGAGCTGTATTGTAAGAAAAATAGAAGCAAGTTGTTGCTTTACTACAGCCATATCCTAAATGTTAACACTGTGTAAAAGGACATCAGTCAGGGTCTAAATGTCAGGAAGAATATTGACCAATGTGTAACAATTAGCGATTGTAGCTGCAAAGATTAGTTTGGGTCTGAAAATGTGGAGCCTGTCAATGGGGAAGTGGGGGAGAGGGGAGGGGATTTGTGAATTACTTTCTAAGCTAGCCACGAGCCACTAAATGGTAGTATAGGCGCACACTGCTGCATATTGAAAGCCTCTATTCAATATTCACCTTTCTGTTTGATGTTTATACGATTTTGTCGATGGAGCTTGAATATCCGTGAGTCTGCAAAGTGATCATACATCTGAGTGAAACACATACATGGCTCCTAACATGCTCCTAGCAGTATTGCTGTGCAAATAGGCTAAAATTTGTCTATTTTCTTCCTCTCTGTGATTTTGTATTTGTCTAATTCTCTTTTGAATGCTAATTCCATTTCAACCACCTCTTTGACGCCTTCATTTCCTCCCGATTTCTCCTTTCCTTTCATTGTTACTATCACTCTCGTCGTTTCAATCCAACTCTCTTTCCTTAGTTCTTTTTCCTTCCTCCTTAATGAGAAAAAATGGACAATTCCTAACCAGAGGACAGTAGTTATTTTTTCCCCTGTAAGACGATACACCACACTATTGCTTTATGCACAATGGGTGAGATCGAATGTGCCGAACGACAACTTCTTCACCGCAACCTCTCCCTCGCTCATCATCAAGGCCAATTAACGCATGTATTAAGACTCAATTGCATGCCTTTTGTTAGACTAGCTTCCACTCTCCATTGTGCAAACCGTCGTATGTTTACCTGGTATCTGCACTCACATGACACTTAGCAAAATGAGGGGAAAATGTTCACTGTGTAAGGCCTGGTGCCTCATATTGATCAACTACTTGCGTTCATTTGAAAAGCCAATGATCAATTCCTGTTTGAACTTAACCACCCTCAAGGCTTGTTCTGCCAGGAGCACAGCGCTCTATGCCAGGCACACTGGGAGATCTGAGAGAGCAGAAGGAAAGACGATAGAGACAGTTTGCCGCACAAAACCTTTCCGTGAGCAACCGTAGACTGTTTACTGATGGTGACAGAGGAGAGGTCTATGATCCAGGTATCTGTGAGTCTGCAAAGTGATCGCATATCTATGTAAATCACATTTTCTGCCCTGAAAGAGGAAGAATCAGAGCAGTGGGAAAGTAACAGGGGTGAAATAGGTTCAAACACACAAACTAAAGGGTGGTCAAGTGTATGTATTTATATGTGTTTACCAATGCACAGAGCCAGAGTGATTGGCCATAGATTGGCATGTGTGACTCCCCCTAAAATGAACACCTTATTCACCAGGGAAGTCACTCGACATACACTAAGCGTGCACTATCTCGACAGGCCCATCATATGGTTACAAGAGGGCATCATAGAGGCCTAGGAGAAGACTGCCCACCTGTTCTCTCAGCTAAGGACCCAAAACAGAAACAGATTTTAAGAATCCCACATTATTTTGCAGCTCAAACTGAACCTCAACCTGAACTTCAACTCTCACTGAACCTCACACTGAATCTCAGCACCCCAGCACCTAATGGATCGACTTCAAGATCCTCACACTTGTTTTCAAATCAAATCACTCCCTGGCACCTCCCTACCTATCTGACCTCCTCACTTCCCAAACCACCACCCGGCGCCTCCGCTTGACTGGCACCGGTCTCCTGCTCGTCGCTCGCGCCCTCCGTTCCGCCATCGCCACTATCGCTCAGACAATGTAAAGTGTTAGCCACCAAGGATTTTCTACTCATTCCTGATCCCCATCATTAGCACCTGTGCTTGAGCAAAGTGATCAGAGTGAGCACAGGGAGTCAGGCCAAGCATTCAGTAATTCACCATTTGATTCCACAACCAGGAGTGGGATTCTGTGCTGGTTAGTGGAAAGTGAATATTGGAAAACAAATAAGGGGGCCTGGCAATGGTTCAGTTGCAGTAATTTGGGTAACTATTTTATTACAATACAAATTTACATTTATAGATGTCTTTCGCTTCAAGAGGATATCCCAGGGTGCTTAATAATAATGGTTTGACACCTGAGCTGGGGGTGGGAGACAAGGGGACTGGGGAAGAGAATGATGACTGAAAACATGGTCATAGATGTAGGTCTTGAGACAGACCTTATATGAAGTGATGAACGGTGCTGAAAGGCCGATCACCGATGGTAGAGTGGTTAGGGCAGGGGAATACGAAGCCGGCCACTACCTGCTGAATGAACATCCGGGTCTATAGGGTTTGAGGAGGTCACATAGATAGGGTTGGGCAAGTCCACAGAGGGATTTAAAGGTGAGAGTGAGTATTTTGAACTTGATCCGCTGGGTGTTGAGGAGCTACTGGAGCCAGGAGAGGGCGAGGCTCATTGAGCCTGATACGGGAGAGGACATTGGCTGTAGAGTCCTGGATCGATCTGTGCAGGGAACAGCTTCGTGGTCCAGCGAGCAGAACATTGTCAAATGATACACGCAATGGCATGGCACAGAAATAGCCCCCTTGGCTCAACTGGTCCATACAATTGTATATACTCCACACAAGCCCCACCCATCCTGTTTCCCTCTTTATTTCCCTTCTCCCTCATGTGAGCATCAAATGTCTTCTTAAATATGTTGATGCTTTGAAGTGAACTTTCAAAGACTGTATGTCTGGATTATGTTTGACTGAAGGTTTTTACTGTTCCCACTGACAAAACCCTTCATGTTTTCTTCATCACGTTTCATCTGAATTTCCCCACAAAAGGAGTATTTTTTAAAATGTCGCTGACTTAAAGGATAAAATGTGTCGATGACGTAAAGTGAAAGCAGCAGAAGCCAATATTTCTCTCTCGGCCAGAAGTGAGTTAAAGTACCTGATCTTTTCCACGCTGCCCATTTGCTGCTGAAGATCTATGAGCTCCATTAATTGTTTCTGCAGGGTTTTCTCTTTGCCTTTGATCTGTTTCATAAAGGGGTGGTCCAGAAGGTCAGAGACAGTTGGACGCTGCTCAAAGTCTTTAATGAGGCATCTGCAGCGACAAAAGCAGGAAATTATCAATAAAAATCACCTCATCCTCTCCAGAGTGTTAATCCTCTGCAGCGTTATATTTTACTGCTTATTTTATGAAGTGCAACCCGCCCTAATTGAAAGTCCAAAGCACTTCATACAACCATCTGCTTTTCACATTGCAGAAGCAACAACAACAACGTGCACTTATGTAGCGCCCTCCACGCAGGGCAGAGTCTCAGAGTGTTTAACAGTGGCAGACCTGACTCCGAGCCGGGGAGTGGGGGTAGGGGGTGGAGGTGACCGTAAGCTCTGTCAAAAAGGAAGGTCTTAATGCGAGACTTGAAAAAGGGGAGAGAGTGGTCAAGATGGAGGGATCGAGGGAGAGTGTTCCAAAGTTTTGAGGCTTAGTGGCTGAAAGCGCGACCTCCAATGGTGGAGCGTAGGGCCCGAGGGACGAGCAGGAGGATGGTGCCAGTTGAGCGGAGGTGCCGGATGGTGGATTGGGGAGTGAGGAGGTCGAAGAGGTAGGGAGGTGCCAGGGAGTGAAGTGATTTGAACACGAGTGTGAGGATCTTGAAGTTGATCTGTTTGGTGATGGGGAGCTAGTGGATCCTGGGCCAGAAATGGTGATATGAGGGTACGGAATTTGGTCCGGGTATGTATGCTGGCAGCAGAGTTCTGAATGAACTGAATTCTGTTCAGCATTACTATTGTTTGTGGATAAAGCAAAACCGTGTAAAGTTTTACGTTTCACCCCAAAAATACAGTCAATTCACTTTACAGTATATTCTGTGAAGCGCTTTGAGAGTCTCAAAGATGTGATAAGGAGCTGTATGAAATGCAAGGATTATTATTATTATTATTTTTATTATTACAGCAAACAAGCTTCATGTGTACTGGTTAGGACAGGAATCTAAACACATGTAAATAGGTTGTATTGGCAATCACGCAGCCAATGTTTCTTACTACCATGAGTTTTCCTTCTCTTAAATACTAATCCTTACATTTGGTACAGCACCTTATCATGTAAAGTCACTTCACAGGATTTACTGTGACTGTGTGTATTTTGTGGGACAATACCCCAACTAATTTGCGCACAGCATTATCCCACAAACAACCATGAATTGAGTGACCAATCGTATTTGGAAGGTTGTTGGCCAAGACATTGGGCAAAATGGCCCTTTCTTTTCGAATCATGCAATAGGATCTTTAACATCTACCTGAACAGACAGACGGTTTAAAGTCTATCCAAAGGATAGCATCTCTAACAATGCAGCACACCCTGGTACTGTATTCACTGTATAGGTTCCACATCCCGATTGGGGTTTGAAGCTGCAATTTTCTAGCTCAGAGACGAGAGTACTACCAACTGAGCCGACAGCAATATTCCTCTGTAGCAGAGCATCTCAGGTCACCACACTATATATTCCTTACAATTGCATAATGTATTTCCATTGGAAACAGGAATGCCATCAGTGGCAGAATGCAAGTGTGCTCTGATTTTTATATGTGTTTTATGAATTGTTTAATGAATACAATGAGCAGTGTGAATTCCAGGTTCAGTGGCTGAACACCATCCACATACTGTTCCTAAGGTAACAGTTTAGCCTCTGTAATCTGGTGTCATCATTGTGCTTCCTTCCACTCGCACTTTACAAAATAACAAGCCTAAGATTGCATGAATGCACAGGGCTAACAGCACAATAACAAGAGGAGAATAGGATACATCAACAAAACTCTAAATAGCATTAAATCCTCTTCTAATAATGGAAACATCTTAAATTCAGTCTTAATTTAGAAGCCAGTTTCCACAGAAAACCACTTTCAAATTAAGATTAACTGCAATCCTTGAGGGGGAGGGGAGGGAAGTAAGTGAGGTCCCCTTGAAGCTGAACTGGTCCAAGTTGACGTGCCTGACATGCTAGGGAATGTTACTACTTCACTCCCAATGGAGGTGACACCCTCATCTCCAGACTTGACATTTCAAACACTCTGCTCACCAGTGTCCCCAGCTCCACCTCCGCAAACTCTGGTCCAACAACAGCTCCACAGGCGTTGCAAGCCTATCACCCTTATCCTTGCCTCGCTCCAGTGGCTTCCTGTCTCCCAGTGAATCGACTTTAAGTTCCTCATCCTCACCTTCCAATGTCTCCTTGGCCTTGTATCACCCGACCTGTGTCCTCCTGCAACCCTGCTCCCCCCGTCACTCTCTCCACTTCACCAACACCGGCCTGCTTCATGCCTCACACTGGCCATGCTCCATCATTGATGGATGAGCCTTCAGCCACTTTGCCCCCTACTTCTGCTCTACTTTTCCATCCCGTCTGAAGACCTACTTGTTTGCCTGTGCTTTCGGCCACCTCCCGCCACTGCCTTAGCTCCCTCCCAGTTCAAACTCCAGCTCAATCTTTGTAAGGTACTTTTGAGATATTTTTTCCAACATGAAAGGTGCAATATAATTGTAAATTGTTGTTGTAGTTTGTATAGCTTTCCAGCGCCTTGGGACGTCCTCCCGACATGAAAGGCGCTATACAGATGTAATGTGTTGTTATTGTTTGTTGGGGACTCAGTCTTTTATTTTCCAAGTTCATGGAAACCAGAAAATCAAACTTTTCATGAGTGACTCATCCGACTAATGCCCTAAAACCTTCAAAACTGACTATAATTAATAAAGTTAAAGCCTACACTCAGAAAGCAAACTGTCATTGCAGTAGGTTTTGTTTAAACAGGATTTTTGATGAGATTCCACTGAATTTAATTGCTTAATAATAAAACTAAAGATTCACAGCTAATTATTGACTCCTGTGTCAGTAGTCCTGCTGAACAGTACACAAGGGAAGCTATTTTTGATAGAAGACGTGTTGTTCTGTTGCACTTGCCACACTGTTATATAACACTTTGTATTAAAATGGTGCAGAGGTCATGTCACAGAATGCTGGAGGAAATTTTGTGCCGTGGCAAAGTACGTGAAGAGACACACCACAGTCACTGCTGCTGAGATTTACTCCCAAACATGCTTTATTATTGTCTCTCTTTCTAACAGATATTAACATGGGTCGTCTATTCATTAGCAAAATGCTGAATTGAAGTAACCCATTTTCTGCCCAGCTGTGATCGTAAAGGCACCCTCAGAAAGGTGCCAAGTCTAGTTGCTATGAGACATTTTAATTGTTTGTGCGCCTAGCTTGCTGGACTTGCTAGCTTCACCATCCATAGATTTCAACTTATTCAAAACTCCACCGCCCGCACCCTTACCCACACCAAGTTCCGCACTTGCATCACTTCAGTCCTCAACAGACTCCACCAGCTCCCTGTCTCTCATTGCATCCATATCAAGGTCCTCGCCCTCATCTATAAATCCCTTAACACCCCAATATCTCCCTAATATCTCTGATATCCTCCAACCCCACTCCTCTGCTCCGCTCTGGTAACTCTGCTTGTTGTAGGTCCCCCTCTCTACCTGCCTCATAGCTGTGAAGAGAACGACCAATTTTTATTTGGGGAATTGTCGGGAAAAACTCCCTTCTCCTTTCATGCAATGCCATGGGATCTTTAACGGCTAAATGAACAGGCGTGATTTATTTCCCAGCATTTTGCAATCAATCGTGCATATTATGTGCACATCATGCCTAACATTTTATAATAATAATAATCCTTGCATTTGATATAGCTCCTTATCACATCTTCGATACATGCTCTAAACACTAAGCTACAGGACGCCACCATTTTGAGTGATGCAAGTGAGGTAAGCCATGAAGAAGGTAGCCTCCGCTATTTAAAAAGGTTGTTTAAGCCGCAAGAAAGATTACAGGTTAAAAACTGTGTACAGAGACACTCTTGTTGAAGCTGTAAAGGTAGAGATTCTGACTATGGAAAGGAGTGGGAGCTGGCAGGAGCCTCAGCAGGTAGTATGGGAGAAGATTGACTGGCTCTATGTATTGCAGAGTACGAGATGTTATTTGACTGATACAAGAGAACTGCAGGCTTTCACGTTACAGTTGGACAGTGGAGTGCAGTGTCTCCAGGAGATATTAACAGTACTTTTTCAATCGTGTGGCTCTTTACACCCTCTGCAACCATGCAGAGCTGATAGTGGCACTCACTTGCTTATAAAGTTATTAAACGTTTCTGTCCAGAGCTCTGGCTGATGCAGTTTCGGGGGCAGATTCCTGAAGGTAGAAACAGAAAAGGAGATTAACCAGAACACTGATAGCACACAACCAAATTCTAAAGCATGCGTCTCAAGGATCATCGTAAAATGATGGACATCGCAGCTTGAAGGACACAGTTGTTAGCATAATTATGCCTCGCTTTCTTTCTTTTTCTAAACGCCTTCCACATAGAGATACAAGACCTTAGGAAACACACTCACACAGAGTCAAATATAGCCTTGTGTCTCAACGATTGCTCATGCAAGTGTAAGAACAGCTGATGTGCTATTAATCTCCAATCACATCAATGTATCTGTGCGCTGAAGAGGCTTTTTGAAACGGCAAATAAATGATGCATTTCTACCAACAGAATCACTGCTCTTTAAGTAGCTCTGCATTCACGTAAGGGGACCAAAGACATTTGACATTGCAGTATTAACTATCCCATTTAACACTGTGTTAAGTTTCGTGAGCAATAGCACTGCTCTTCTAGGATTTACTACCACAGCGATAGCTATTTAAAATTGCCCTTTACTGTTGTCTTTTATGTTTGGCACAAAACGGCTTCCTAAATGGCTGCATTGGGTCTGGGCTAATGCATTGAACTCTTACTTGAGCTAATCTTATATGGTACTTCAATAGAACAATGATGTTCTATTGTGGAGGAGAGGGGATAGGAAGGAGAAAAATGCATCATTGCCTCAGTGATGTCAGGCACAGGTGACATGATGGTGAGCTGATATGATTTTGTATCACGGATTTGGAAACAAACGGAAAAGAGGTTTGACAAGGATTTTTTCCATGAAATAAAAGCCCTTTTAAACATCAAATATGTAATGTTAAAGCAGAGCAGATTTCTCACTCACTTGAGATTTGAAACCTAGTTCCCATGCAATACAGAAATGCAAATACACATGGGAGTGTGTTACACGGTTCATCAAATTAATCATACTCTGTGCGTTTGAAATAGCACCTTATTAAGTCTTCGAGATGTTTCAAAGCGCTTCACAGGATTTAGTGTTGAGTGTAGCGACTGTATGTTTTGTCGGCAAATGGCAATTTGCTCATAGCAATGTCCCATAAACAGCCATGGAATGAATGACCAATTTTATTTGGGCGATATTTGGCCAGGACAGTGGAAGAAACTCCTTTTTCTTTTTAAATGGAGTCCTGTAGCACAGTGGTTAGAGCACTCTCCTTGCAAGCAAAAGACCTGGGATCAATTCCCAACAAGGCGAAATGTTGGGCAAGTTTCCTTGCTCCACAAGCCTCCGTTTACCTAGCAGTAAGTAGTAACCCGGTTGTTGGTCAATTGGCGTATCGCTTTTCCGGGGGTAATAATTCCTTCAAAAAAAAAAAAATTGCTCACTCAATCCATGACTGTTCACTGTTGGCTGCCGCGTTTCGCCCACAAAATATATAGTCAATTCACTATATTCTGTGAAGCGCTTGGAGACGTCTTGAAGACGTGATAAGGTGCTGTATCAAATGCAAGGATTATTATTATATTATTAAATAGAACCATGGGAGCTTAAAGTCCACCTGAACAGGCAACAGGAACTTAGTTTAACGTCTCATCTTAAGGACCACATCTCCAACATGCAGCACATTAGCGTCGCTTGCACTGCATTGGAGTGTCACCTCAGACTATTTGAGTACAAGTCCCAATGTGGGGCTTGAACTCACAATATTCTGACTCAGAGGAGAGAGTGCTCCTCTGTGCCAGGGATACACAAATATAAGTGATGTAAAAATAAAGAGTTCTGATTTGAAATTATTATTAATTTGCATTTATTTGCACCTTTCACGTAAAAGGGAAACGCTTTAAAGTACTTTAAACAATATAATTGATTAGAAATGGAAGTATTTGTTGCTATTTCTATAATTTGTGAATAATACCAATTTATCCCTTTGAGTTTGATTTGGATACTGTTAAGCATAGTGATGGGTTTGCACATGTGTCAGACATCCAAAAAAATCCCTTTGACCATGCCTATGCCACCATGCAGGGCTCCGAGTTCCTATCCTGCATAAAGGGTCCAATAATAAATGTAAGTTGTTCTTTCTTCTTATGAATAGCACCTGCATCATACAACGTGTAATAGTCTTCTCACGTTCCTTACCGGCTGCTAGAGTATAGAGACATGAACGTTTAGCAGTTTAAAGGCTGCAATGACGGGAAATCTAGAATCAGTCGTTAAGGGGAATGAAGTAGAGCTGTAAACCAAATTAGGATCATTTTACCGTAATTTCATGGCTGACTGATGCAATCATGTGATCAGATTATCAAACAGTCAAATCTTACTCATTGCTCTCCTTTGATTCTGTAGCTCAGTACAATTATTCAATGTCTCGCTCGTACTCCCGTAGTGAGAACTGTTCTTGTGCGTTGCTCTATTTTTTCCTTTATTGTCATCAGGTCACCAAAAATACATAAATCCTGTCGCATTCGGCACAAGTGGCATAGCAGGAGGAGGCAGAGTAGTGGAAACAACCTTGGAAACAGGTCCCAGTGGAATATGAATACACACAATAGACAGGATAAGCAAAACACATTGCATGCAACACACACGTACAGAACAGACAGCTGCAGACTCTGAGAAAAGCAATATTAGGTTTTGATAATGTTTTGTGGATATTAAGACATTCCCAGGACTGAGCTTCTGGTGGGAATGAATCTGAAGTTTTCATTAAGTGCTAAAGGAGGAGAATTAACCAAGGCAGCAGGAGAATGTTTTATTATAATAATAATCCTTATATCTGATGTAGCATCTTTCACGTCAGGAGGATGTCTCAATGCTCTTCACAGGATATAGTATCACATGTAATGACTGTGTATTTTTGAAGCAAATGGACCAGCTAATTTGTCCACAGCAATATCCCACAAACAGCCATGAAGTGAATGATCAATTTTATTTGAGTGATTGTTGGCCAGGACACCAGGATAAATGCCTTTCTTGTTCAAAAAGTACCACTGGATTATTAACATCCATCAGGAAAGTGCCGATAATTATCACTATATAAATATACAGCATGTCAGAAGGCCATTTGGCCCACAGGACTGTGCTCGCCCGTTGAAAGAGCAATCCATTTAATCCCTGTCTTATCCCCATATTACAAAGTGTATATTACAAACTTTAATATATATACTCAGATATTGTAATATGTTACAATGTATATATAACATATACACAATATACCTGGTAACATATATATATAGTAATATATTATAGTACATACTACAATGTGGCTAATTGGCTGCCGTGTTTCCCCCCAAAAATACACAGTCACTTTAGGATATATTCTGTGAAGCGCTTTGAGGTGTGATGCGGCGCTCTATCAAATGTAAAGATTATTATAACTACAAACTTCATTATATTATTGCATTGCTAAGGCAAGTCACCAGAAAGCCAGATGGGAGAAAAGAGCATTTCCTCCCATACGCTGTGTCAGGTTTGTCCTATCGTGGATTCTGTTCAACCCATTTTATCTTCTGAGGCATAAAGAGTTTTATTGCAATCCACATCTCCAGGATTCAAGGCCACCTCCTAGGATCACCAGCATGACTAAAGATGACTTTATTTCATTTTATACGACAATATTAGGATAACGTGTTCATAGATCAAATATAATGAGATCCAGATAAACGCTGTTTGTTTTCCCTTTCAGCTGTAGAGAGGTTCAGAGTGGGAAGCCAGATTTATGTAATCCACTCCAAATATTTCTTGCTGCAAAGGAGAGAGCTAACAGAACGGTGTGGAAATCCATGACTTTTTATAATGCTATTAAGACACAATGTGAACGCAACCAGTTGCTAAATAACCTGGAGTGTCATTGATACTTCAATAATATTACAGATCTTAAGATCAATCCAATTCAACATGAAATGTCCTCTTACATGCATAGCGATATTCCCTAACCATATCTCCTAAAGCAAATGACTGCTGCATCAGTGAAAATTGTTTCTTATTGTTTCCAATTGAACACTATATGTTAACTATACGTCAGCAATCTGACTCAGAGAAATCCCCCCCTTTTAGTTTCATCCTTGTGATTTCTTCAAGGGAGATTGCCAATGTATTGCTAAATTCTCCCTCCCTCAAATCCATTAGATCAATAGGCATTCAGTCTAATGCATCCTGGATGAATTGTTCTTGACATAGGAATGATGCATCATAGCAATGTATATATATGATTTGTCTAAAGCTTTGTCAATATGAAACTGTACTATATTTGTAATAATTTTAATATTTTAAACCATTTGATTCTGTCACATTGATTATTGTGCTGTTTACAGAATTTTAGTTTATATAATTTGGGTTTATGAGTTACATATTATATGTCTTTTGCTTCGAATGGAAGTTACTTAATATTTGTACTATTATAACCTTTTTAAGTGAAGAACCTTGATACGAATGAATATGTCTGTTTTTACTTGATCTTATATCTTTGTGTAGTTGTGTGAATCGAGGGGCTTTGGCATGCAGATGTGGGAATGTGTTGGAGTAGTCTCAAACTTCGAGAAACAGACTGCAGTAGCAGGGAGGGTGACCAGTGTGAGTTGTTTGAAGTGTTTGTTCTTTTAAGTGAAGCATAGGATGGGTAAATGGGCAAGGACAGCCTTTGACATGTTTGTTTAGGGTTATACGTATTGGTCACTAACTAGCCTAAAGTTGAAACAGGCTCGAAAATGAAGAAGACAATAAAGATATTGTTTCCTGGATTGGTAAATATGCCTTTCTGTGCATGAACATCGCTGTATAAAGATTTCTTTAATAAAACAGGTTATTGAAGGAGTACCTGTCTCTTACGATCTTGGTTATCTAAAAATTAGTAGACTGAAGTGGGGTAAATTCAGAACAAATCTGTGCAAAACACTAGTTCAATGAGTGAGGAGTAAACTTAACAAACAGGCTCCCTAGGAAGACAGTGGAAGCAGAAAATGTCATTTGTTTCATGAATAAATGAGATAGATTTCTCCTAGAAAATAATATCTTGGGATACAGTATATAGTCTGGGAAGCGACATGTCAAGTGACTGCCAAGATGGTGGAAGGCAAACTAGATGGACCTTGGTCTTCTTTCGCATAGCAAGTTCTTATGTTGTTGTAATAGATTGGTTTTATTTAAAGTAAATACAATACAGGATTGACCCAATGCAGTCAACAAATGTTACGTGTCCTTAGTCATTCTGAGTGAGATTGAAGTAGGAAGTAGATACATTTAAGTGTCCAAATACCAAGCTTGTACGACAAATAACCTTAGCATGGGAACTGAAAAGGTAATTGTGCCTTCAATAATACACTGGTGAATATTCACGGCAATGTCCTGTCTAACAGTAAGGTGCAAATGGCACGAATACCTGGGTATTTTGAAAAGTGCCCTCATTGGGTGTAGATCAGCCAGTGGTGGATCTCCATCTCCGAGTTCAATGGCAGTGATGCCCAAAGACCAGACATCACAACGTGAATCATAACAGGAATCCAGCTGCTGCTCACAAGCTATTACCTGGCCATCAGTAAAGCAAAGAGACATCCCGAAGTTACTGTCAATTATTAATATTATTACTATCAGCAATCATAGCAGAAAAAACGTTCGAATCTTATAGTGAAACAGTCATAATCTGAGTAATGCTTTCGAGAGGTATTAAATATAATTTTGAACCTAACTAATGTGGCTACCCAGGCCACTGTCTCTTACAATTGATCCTCTGTTGAACTATTTTCTAAATGTTATGATTTTAAATGACGTTGCCCCAAGCTGCCCCAAGCAAACTTCACTATACATTAATTCTGGGCAGAAACAACATTCTTTTTTCCTGCTCCCATAAGGTGATCTCCTGGTTAGAATCTGCTCTCATCCAGGGCCGATACATCATTATTAAAAGAGTTTCGAGCAGGCCGAATGTCTTGTTACTCTCCAGCACTTCCATATTTACAGGTTATGGCTGGAATTAGTTCCAGATTTAATCGGCAGCTAGTTAGAAACCTCATTTCTGAAACGGTTCTGACTCTTGTCGCACTAATGTGTTCGATTTTCTTTGACAGTAAAAAAAAAAGGCGAAGTATAAATTAGGGAAAGAAAGAAATAATTTTAACATCAGCAATGAATGTAGAAAGGCACAGGATATTACAATTATTTACGGTACATTGATTTTTTTTTCCTATACAAAATTGTTTCAACTCAGATTATTGTCATTGTGCTAAAAATAGCCTATGTCGATGCAGCCTAAATTGTATATGTAGAGAAAATTAGATATTATTTTTCTAGATAACTAAATACACAAAAGGTTGCTGTGTTTATGTAATACTAGTTCACACTTCATTGCTAAAATTGCAGGAAATACGTGTTGTGCTCAGATTAACTAGCGCCCTGATAACTGTAAATCCTTTATGTTTTTTGGTAAAGAAACCCTGGATTTTCACATGTTAAGAGCCAAAGGTTCTGGGAAAGCTAGGTTGGTCAATGTTCTCTTGTTTGCACAATAATCTGAGTCTAGGATATTGAAAATAAAGGAAAAAGCGACATGGAGTTCATAAAGTAATTTGTAGAGTTAAAGGGAATTTTAACCAAATGTTTTTAGCTGCTCTTGAAAATGGTTTTGTTGGTGGATTTCAGAAGAAAGACAGTGAGAATGTGCAGAGTATTGGAAGGATAACTCAGTAAAATTTGCTTGACCTATTTGATAAAGTGGCAGAGGTATAGCCTTCTCAGGGGGATAGAAGAGAGCAAGATTTTCACTTCGCAGACCATTTCAAATTCTGAATATTTACTTTTTTCTGCAATCTGTAATTTAAATCTGGAATTTTACTGCTTTAATATTCTGCAATTGTTCCTTGATTCTGGTCACTTGACTGTGGACAGGGCTGACTTTAATCCTGGCCTGTATACATTGTGGATGCACAGGTTTGCTTTATGTTAAGCGTAAAGTAATGCAATGAGATCCAGTTAAATGAGATTTAATGCTGCAAGTATAAACGACATAATCCCCTCCTCCCTGAGCTAATGTAAGGAATGTGGACAATTATGTAGTAAAGGCAGATTATCCGGGTCTAAGTGAGAATATTACAATTACAGGATGCATCTGGATATTACATTGACACCATGTTTGCTGTAGAATAAGCAGGGCTAACAATGTAGATTGCTCGGATGATGTCCGCCTAGTGATAACCAGTTTCTCATATTTTGATTACTTCCTATTGTTTGCATTTTAATTGTCCTGCATTGAAAATTAGCAATGGGGGAGGGGGATTCAACACAGAAACAAAGCAAAAGCTGAGTGATTTAAGCCTGTCCAAGACCAAAAGAGGTGGCAAGACTCCCTATCATATTCTGATAGTGGTTTGACTCGAGCCAAGTTAGGAATACATGTTCCTTCTTTGTAGACTAGGTTTTTTTTTAATAACTATGTTAAAGCACAAAACGTGGTCCAAGTAAATGCACTGAACAGTAGTGACGGCTAATGTTATTTCGAGTCAGTCAGTCAGTCATCACCCAGTGGATTAGGTAATGAGGTGAGGGGTTGACTGTCCTTGGAGTTTCCGTACTTACCTCTGGGGCCATCCAGAAGGGGGTTCCAACAGATGTATTGCGTTGAAGGCAAGTGCTAGTTAACTGAGCTGAAACACCTAATATAGAGATTAGAGCAGCATCATGAAGTGAAGTTGACACATTGCCCCACAGCATTGAAAACACTCCTTGGAGCCTTTTCAGTTTTAAAAATTACTGTTAAAGAGGGAGTCTCAGCAGCCTTTCAAAGAAATCCCAAACTTAATAAAAATAAGTTATTTATTTTAACATCTAGATGTTTCCTGTCAGGTTCTATTGGTAATTGTTTTTTAAAAAATGTGACCTAAACAGTAAGTGCTGGTGGTATTATGGGAGGGGGAGGATCTGACTTGTCAGAATTACTGAGCCTAACAATGTGAGAAAGCTGAATTATTGTCAGGAGAGATGGTCACTAAATTACATCAGAACATTTGATGGATTGAAAGGTTACAGAAAGCTGAGACATGCACAGTAGACAATGTGTTATGGATCCTGACCCTTTGGAACTGTCTACCTCAGTCCCTCCACCTTGCTCCCTCTTTGCCCATCTTCAGGTCGAGCCTGAGGACTTTACTCTTCGATCAGTCACTTACCCTTTCTCCCCAGCTTGGTGTCAAACTATGCTCCAAGTCACTACCCTGGATGAAGAGCACTGTATCATTGCATGTTGTTGTTGTTGCATCTGTAGTCAAACAGCTTTAACTCTGAGTGAGGTACAAATAACTGGTTCCTTCACTTCTAAAACATGCCATAATTTCTGTAAGCCATTAGTTGATGCCCAAGCCCAATGGCAGCAGCTTTGCTCAATTGGATGGATTATATTGCATCTGCTACTCCCTTCCAGGTGGAAGTTAAAGATAGTGTCTCCTTGTTCAATTAGTCAGTCAGTTCCTACTCAACGCCAATTACCTCAATCCACCATAAGTCTGAAGAGTATTCTTCCTCGATGTTGTGGACAGCACACTTTTCATTAAAAGCACATCTGCTCCAATGTCACACAATTATCTGACAGTCTCACCTTTCTCATTCAGTCTCTCATGGAAATTCTCTCTTTTTCCATGTACATTCCTACATGGTCACCTTTGATCTTAGATATAGCAGTTACCATTTCTGTCAAACACTGTCAGGTACCTCCATCGTAAAGACATTTTGTCACAATTTGGTTTTCGGTGGATCACAATCTCAGCTCCGTATAAAAGGATTTCTGCGAGACATGGATTGGGGCCAATAAATTTCTGCAGAAAAACAAGCACGAGCCACCTTTCCTGCTTATATATCCATCTGACTCCAGCTGAGATCCATTAACTCTTCGCAGATCAGGAACTTAAGGTGACTCCTCAGAGGGAAGAGCAAAATAAAACTTTTTTTTAAATTTTCTTTGTCTTCCAAATAGTGTTTGTCTTTGTGGGTAGGTAATTCTTGCGATGAATTGGATCAAACCTAAATTCAGAAGGTTTTCAGATACGTTGAGGCAGTAATGATGAAATGATCTTAAACAATGCACTGCAAGGCATCAAGTCTGGGTTCAAAAGCTATTCTAACCTAGTCAATTTGATGTGTAAGTCTTCATTATATTGCACTTCTTGCTAGGTTCATGTGTAATTATATTACACAACACTATATGTCGAAACAGACAAATGAGATTGTAGACAAATGAGTGATATTGCAAGAATACAATGAAATAAATTATGCTATGTTTATTGAGCAGAAAGAGACTATTTTGCCCATCACACCCATACTGCATGCGTTCCCCACTGGAATTTACTATTCTAATCCCATTTCCCTGCTTTTTCTCTATACCCTTTTATATCTCAATTCTTGAATTGTTTATATAATGCACATTGAAATGTTTTAATTAACTAAGATTCAATAGCCATTTGTGGTAATGCATTCTTAATAACTCCCATATTAAAATCACCTTCTCACTTCTCTCTGTGAGCTTTGAGAAACAATCTCCAATTTAGTATCCTCCCTTGTTGTTTATTTGACCAAGCATTCCAATTTTTTTTTACCTTCTCAAATCCTTTTCCAAACTGCAAGCATTTTTACTAGGTCCTCTCCTGCAGTGAATATCACTCTTATAAATCCCCTTCATCATAACTGCACTCCTTCTCATGGTATCATCTCAGTTGATCTGTGTTAAACTCTCTCCATAGACTGTCTGATGGTCCTTCTGAAACTTAGCCCGAAACTGCACTCAATAGTCCAGCTGTAGACCGGCAAATGTCTTGTAAAGGTTCATGACTATCCTACTTTTGCATTCAGTGGCCCCGTAAATAAAACCTAGAATTCCATTTACCCTTTTTATGCGTCATTGCTATTTTTTGCAGATCTGGGTATCTGTATCCTCAGATCCCTCTGTTCCTTATATCATTGCAGTCAAAATATTAGGGCATATTTCAATTTGATTAGTACAATTTGATTTGAAATGCAAAGCATTTTTCGACACTGAACTTTATTTGCCACATCTCTGCCCATACCCATAGCTTCTCTGCATCGATAAGTCACATTTAAAAACATCATCATCATCTCAGTTGAGTGAGATGTAGCACTGCTGAAAGTCACATCTGGTAGTGAGTTAGCATAGCACAGGGATCATGGATCTTCTTTCTCTCCACAAGTAAATAATAAATTGTCAAATGCGTTTTTTTTCTCAGGGTAGATTTCTTTAACTGAAACAAGGAACTCAAGTGGAAAGAGACAGGTAAACACTTTATAACTCCATTGCTTCAGCTATGAAAATTCTTGAGCTTGAATGTCTCGGACTCAACGCATCAGTTGCTAAATCATGTGCACAGCAACACAAGCTCCAGCGAAGGTATAATTTAACAGGTTGCTCATCACTAATTGGAAATGATCGGTAATTATGTACCAAGTAGGAGATCTCCTTGTGTTCTGGTGGCTTGTCCATGGGGGAATTCTTCCCATTTGGATCGTGTCTGCCTACCTGTATGGATTTGCTCTTCGGTGGGAATCTGTGCCAACATTCGGAATGTTGTCTACGCTCGAGTTTTTATTCTCCTCAGTAACATCCGAAGCAGGTTACCACAAAATGTCTCCCAAATCCATTCCGTATCACCTCCTCCAGCCTTACTGAGCATGTCATGACTTCTTAAAGCAACACTCCACTAGGTGACACCTCAATTATCTTGTGATCCCAAATACAGAATGCCACAGTGCATGCAAGGCCTGATCTCCCAAAATTGGGAACAGGGAGAGGAAGCAGGAATTCCTCACATTTGAAAGCACTTGACCGAAGAGTGTGGGCAGGAATGGGTATCTTGTACAATGCAAGAAAGCTATTCAAATTTCACAATATCAGACAAGATCACAAGATTGGTCTGGATGAAGAAGGCTCTTTGTCCGTTGTGATCTCATCGCTCCATAACACCTATCCTACCGTCCCCCAGCAGTACACCAAGCTGCAGTGTCCTGGCCAGTTGATTACTTTGACAGCGTGCGATAAAGCTGAACCACAAAATCCTTAAAATAGACTGTATATGGGGTAAGAGCGGGGGAATCAGACTAGTTGGTACCTCTTTCAAAGAGCCAGCACAGGCATGATGAGCCAAATGACCTCTTTCTGTGCAATAAGATTCTATGATTCTGTGTGGAAGCATTTCTACAATGACACTTGTAATACATAGTTTTGGACGTAATTTACTATATCGATCATCTTGAGATACTTATTGTACAATATAATACTATTATCTCATAATACCTAATACCATATAACAAAAAGGCAACTTCAATAAGCAAAACCCTTAAAATGAGCAATGTTACCAGCTCTATCTCTTTCAGGTGAAGGTTTAACCTGGTTTATTTGTTGATCTTTGTTCAGATAGGTATTAATTCAGCTCTTTCACATTATTGGGCTTGGAAACTTCTCCCAGTCAATCTACCAGAGTAACCAGGACACACTGCTTAAAATTGTTTAAAATAATAATAGTACTAATAAAATAGACAGGATAAAAAATTAAATAAAACTTATTTTGGCTGCACTGATGGAGAGACTCCTGCTTTGATACACTCAAGATATGAGAATAATATAAATTTCAATGAATGAGTTCTGGAAAACCTTTTGCTTATCTCATGAACATATAATTTCATTCAATTTCATTTGAAACATTTATTTTAGACCACAATATTGGATTTGAGTTCCACAGGCAATTTGAGTTACGTGAGGTTTGATGGTGACAGAGTGAAAAGTCTCATTTTAGCTCAAACCTGTACCTGTGTAGTTTTGCTTCAAACATACCATTACTGACATGATAGCAGATCTTCTTTAAATAATTTGATGGTGAACATAACATTCTCAATCCTACTCTTGACAATGAGGAATGATACCCAAACCACCACCACCGTAAACTGTTAGGGCATCACCCATTACCAGTCATTCTCCAGTGCCCTTCAGGAAGGAACTTCTCCAGACACAATAACTCACTACAATAACCTGAAAGTGAGGAAAGTTTTCTGTATGTAACATATTTCCCTCAGCTTTTTCCAAAGAGATGTGTCAAGGATTTTATCTGGAATAAAGGTATTCTCCAACTAAATCATGGAAGATTGCAATGTTTTGCAGATCATCTAAAGGCATTTTTTAATTAAGATATTAATAATAATCCCAATTATAATCCTTGCATTTGGTATTGTGGACTTTCACATGTCTCAAAGCGCTTTACAGAATTTAATTTGAAATGGAGTGCCTGTATATTTGTAGGCAAACATAGCAGTCCAATTGTGCACAGCAACGTCCCACAAAAGAAAACATTGAAATAAATGACCAATTTTATAACTACAACAACAACACCTTGGATTTATATAGCGCCGTCTCAGAGCGCTTCACAGTAATGGATCCCGGGGCCGAGCCAGGGGGAGGGGGAGGAAGGTGACCAAAGGTCGAAAAGAAAGGTCTTCAACAGAGACCTGAAAATAAGGAGAGAGGCGAAGGGAGTGAGGAAGGCAGTTCCAGAGCCTCGGGGCGTAGTGGCTGAAGGCACAGCCACCGAGGGTGGAGCAGAAGACTCGGGGGACGAGGAGGAGGCCAGACCCGGGGGAACGAAGGCAACGGGTACTGTTT